ATTGGTAATACGAACCAAAAGCGGTACAATTTGTACAAAAAATAGCGGGCCCGGCGTTCCGCTAACATTAAAAGCAACAAATACCAAAACGCAAAAACCGCCCGAAAAAAGCTTAATTGCTACCAACATAATTTTTTATCGAAATTTTGGTTTAAAAATAACGTGCCGCACGCCGGCAACACGCAAACGGTAAGCCAAAATTAACGCGAAAAAACGGCGCTATAGCGCTAAACCATTGCTACGCGCTAAAGCGCGCAAAAAATAAAACATGCGCCCGGAAATACCCAAACGCCGCGTTAGCTAAACCCTAAAACCAAATTAAAAAAAAACGACCAAACGCTACGCTTAAGCATTATTATTTTTAAACCCCAAAAATTTATTTTCCAAAAACGATAATAAATTGTTAACGGTTTGTTTACCGCTACCCGTTTTTATTACAACAACCTTTTTTATTTCGCTTTTTAAAAACGATAACGAAAAAAAAAATTACTTTTTTCCCGGTATATTTACCAATCCTTTTCGGGGGAAAAAAAAATGGCCGGAAATTTATATTAAGCAAAAAACATTATTTTAAAAAATTAATTAAAACAATTCCCCGTTACGAAAAGGAAATTCCAGCGCGCCGCTAAATATACGGTATTATTCCAATCGTTTCCGTTTTTAGCAATAACCGTAGCTATATAACACATACAATTTCGTAATATTTTTGGACATAAACCTTTTTAACGGTATGCCAAATTGTATATTCCGGGTTGCCAAAAAAAAGCTGCATTTTCGCCCGGTTTTTTTAAGCCAAAAAACGAAAAAAATAATGGCAAAATTGGGTACTAACTAACAAAATGGCGATAACGCGCCGTTAATGCATTAAAGCAACGAAAAGGGCGGGCTAAAACTAATATTAAAACTTTATAAAAAAAAAACAAAAGCAAAACGCAAAAACGCTAACGAAATGCTTATTTAGCGCCGGTTTTAAGGGCTATTTATGCAATAAAAGCGTTATTCGGCGGCGTTAACGGCTTTAAAACCACGCATAAAATGGGTGCATATGCGCGCAGCACGCGCGCAAATATCCGCTAATAAAATGTATACGCTTTTGGCAATGCCGGCAAAATCCAAAAGGACCGGCGTTTCGTTATTAATACGAAAAAAGCTTTCGTAAACGGCGGTTAAGCGCTTAAAATCGTAAAGGTTTGTTTTTATGTAAAAAAACGGTTGCAAACCAAAACGTTAACAATGCGCCGGCAAATTTTAATTAACAAAACGCATTTTGTTATAATTATCCTTTCGATTTTAATATTAATGGCATTAAACGTTTGGATAAAACCGCAACCCGTTACCGTTACGCTAAAATTTTAAACCCGGGCTTACGCAATAAAAACTTTGGATAAAATGTACTAAATCCGGAATGTTATTTTTGTATTAATTAATTAGCGTACAAAGCGTTAAAAAGCAAATAACGGCGCAAAACGAATAGCGCGTTACCGTACCGGCGCGGATTTTGCGGGCGTTTATATTATTAATTAATATAACGAAATAAAACGAAAAAAGGACGAAACAACAATAAAAATACAAAACAATAATAGCGTTAAACCGGTAAATTAAAAAATTGTAATGTATATATATATAGATTTATTTACCCCGTTCGAGCTGTATAGCACATGGGGAGCACTACGGATCGGGTTAACTATATGAAGGAGGAAACCGTGCCTCCAGCCGATAGCTGTTTGGTATAAGGCTGGATGAAAACCCCTTCCCTTCGAGGGCTTTGCGACTGCGCGTCTTCTTCGTAAGTAAAGATCCTGCACATAGAGTCACATTAGTAATTAGAAAGGCACGAACACGAGCGTGCATAGGAGGCGCGCCACAACCCACGCGCTACGATCCCAGGTAGCACACTACGATCCGGGTCTTTTCCAGCCAGGGCGTGTTCCCTTTGTTTTCCGGGCCAGGCGCGCCCCCTCGAAGGCGGTCCTTTCCTTTTTCTTTAATTGGTGCCATCATTTTATCGGCCGACTTTGTTATCGGAGTTGCTTTCGTCGCTATCGGTACCTTTATCCCTCGCCGCAACCCCGGCGCTACTATTCCGATAGCCGGTCGGATTTATTTTGGCCCGAGGTCCTTATTTTTTTGCTTGCCCTATAACCTGTGCGTCCACAGGCTGCACGTGCCCTAAAGGGGCCTTTTGCTCAAACCTTCGGCACGTGCGTTACAGGGCTCGGGGGTAGGGAACCCCGCTAACGGGTCGCAAATGGCTTCGCTGGAGTCGAAGGGAGGTCGCACGTGGGTGCCATAAGGCTCGTCGATAAGGATAAAGTCTTCTGTTGCTGTGGGCTTTCTTTGTTGTGGGGACCAACTGTTCGGAAAAACGTCGGAACGGTTTAGGGCTTAATAAATCGCTTTTTTGCACGTGCGAAACAAAAAACCCCGTGTCCCCGGCAGGAGTCGAACCTGCGTCCTCCAAAGAGGACCTCCCAGCGCTGAACCACTGCGCCACGAGGACAAAAAAAAAAAAAAATTGTAATGGTAAAAATAATAATAATAGTTAAAAAAAAAGTTAAACAAACGTAACGCAAAGCGGGGAAAAAATTAAAAAAAACGGCGAAAAAACGTTAACGCAACGCGGGGATTCCGCTTTAAAAAAGCGGTAAATAAAGCATTGCAAGCCCGTGCGCAAAAAAACAAAAAAGCGCCCTAAATAAACGAAGCTATGCACGCAACGCCACACCGGCGCAAGGCATTACGTTAACGCAATTGGGATAATTGCGATTTTGTAATAAGGTATTGTTACGGTACGCGTTGGGGCACCTGGGGAAAAACCTAAGGCCGCACTTTTAACGCGCCAACGTTACGCTTACAAAACCGCGATAGAACGCCAGGAACGCTTTGCCCAAATAGCTTCCTTTTCGTGCAACAACAAAGCCTTTTCTATAACAATAAAGTGTGAGCCGTAGCACTTCCGGTTATTTTTTATCGCTCCAATCCTTTTTTAACGCGCTTTTTTTTTCCAACGCTTGGTTATACTTTTATTTATTTTACTTCCGGCCATTTTTAACTTTATTTTTAATTGGTTGCAATGCTAATTAACGGTTTTTTTTTAAAAAAAAGGGCAAAATTAAAGCCAATTTTGCCAAACGCGGTAACCGCAACGGTAACGGCGTTCGTAATGGTAATTAAGCGGATAAAGGGTTTGCGTCCGGTTTTGCTGCTCCCAATTCTTTTAATCCTATCGTTTTTATCGCTTTTTTTGCCCGTTTCGCTACCCGTCCTTTTCCGGTAAAAATGCCCAATAATAACAATAATTCCTTTAACAATAATAACAATAATAATAATAGCAATAACGCACAAATTAACGCTAATTACATTATTAATTTTTCTTTTATTTTTTCGCTTCCGTTTCGTTTTTTTCCTTTCATTTTAATTTTATCATATATTTAGCAATACAAATTTATAACCCGCAAAGCAATAAACGCTTTAACGGTTATTCCCGAAAGCATTGTACTTTTTTAATAAATAACGTAAATATTTTTTCGTTTTTTTGCTTGCGCTTTGGCTAATTATTTAATTTTGCGCGTAAAATTTATATAAGTTGCGTTAATTACTTGGCCAATAATTTGGGTAAAAAACAAAACGGGAAAACGCGGTTTAGCAAAATTGCAATTTATTATTTTAAAATTGGTTCGTTCTTTTTATAGCTTCGGGTAACTTTTATATTTGCTAATTTATTAATTGCTCCAAATTCGAACGCGTTATTTTATCGTTTTTGTACTAATTAAAACGTCCGGTATAAAGCGGTAAATCGTTTTTTATCCTTTGTTTGGCCGGATTACTAACATATTTTTCCCCAACCTTACTTTATTGCAATTAAAAAAGCTCGTATTACCGCCGGGCTTTTCGCTAAATATTACAAAACGTTTTTTAAAGCTAAAAACATGCGTTACTTTAAATTAAATAATTGCCGCAAATATTTGGTAAATTGCTTTAATTTTATTAGCTTTTTATAATTTGCCGGTTCGCTAACGGTATAATGTAATGCTAAAAAGCTTATAACGCTTTAATTGTTAAAATTTTTACGTTCCGGCGTATTAACAAAAACAAACTCAACAAATTCGGAATGCTTACCAGTACTAATTTTAGCTTTAACCGCTTTTAAATACATCCCCTTTTCGGCGCCGGGGTTTTTATAAGTACAAATGCTGCCGGTTCGGAATTCGTACGGTCCTTTTCCGGCAACATAATATCGGTGCTTTAAACTTTTGCTTTTTACGCTTTAAAAGCTTTTAACGCTTTATCGCGTACCAATAAAGCTACAAAAATTGTTAATAATTTAAAAGTTAAAAAGTTTGCTTTTAAGCAAGCTTAGCAATTAGTAAATGCTGGTTTTTCCCCGGTAACAATATTATTTTTATTGCTTTTTTTGCGCTTTTTAACTTGTATAAGCAATTGCGTATAGCAATTGTAAAACAAATTAATAATAAAAATAATTTGGCGTTTTTTAACAAAATGTTGGAAATATTGCGGGAAAAAATCCGCAAACGCTAAAACATGTAAAGCAACGGTTCGTTTCCGGGTTTATTGCTAAATATTGTTAAATATAGTTAAACGTATATTCGTAACTTTTTTATATTAAATTAATAATTCGGGTATTTGCGTTCGGTAATTGGTTTAGCGTTAGGTTATTTATTTAAAGCGGTTTATTTTTTTATGCTTGCATTTTTAACCAATCGTTTTTTTTTACCATTTTAAAATCGTTAAATTTATTTATTTTAATTGCTAAACGTACGGTTAATAAAAAAAAAGGGGGCGAAAAAAAGCAATTTTAATCCATTTCGGTTCCGGTAATAATATTTATTTTTTATTGCTATCGTTCGAAATATACTTTATAATGGCTTATATTTTCCTAACCCAAATTTGCTTTCCATTTAGCGTAAAAAAAGCATACGGTTAGCAAGTAAAATGCTATTTTTCGTTGCCCGGTTTTGCACGAACAATAAGGCGTATACGCGTTAAAAACGTTTTTATTTTATAAAAACGCTTTTAATTCCAATTTTTCCGTTTTAATTAAATGGTTATAACGCTTTAAGCTTTAATAAATTTTTAATGTGCTTTTAATATTAAGCCATTAAAATTTGGTTTATTTGCGGGGGTTGCGGGCCGAAATGGGTTTGCTTTCGTTGCTATAACGCGGGTATTTTTGCATTTAACATTCCATTTAATTTTAAACCATTCCTTTTTTTTTCCTTTTTTTGCTTTTAATTTGCTAATTTTTATACCTTAACGTTAGTTTTTATTTTAATTTCCGTTCGTATAGTTACCGGGGCGGGGCCGGGTTTAAATTCGGGGGGGTTCCGTTGGGTTCCATTTTTGCGCTTACCGGTTTTTGCTTGCCAAATTAAATAAATATAATACTTTCGTCTTTTTGCGGTGCTTTAATTGTTGGAAATATTGCTTTATTTTATTGGTACCGGTTTAAATTACGTTTTTTATTTTAAATTTTTCCCATTTTCTTTTTACTTTTAATACCTTTTCGTTTAAATACAAATTAATAAAAAGGGTAAAATATTTAATTTTAAAATTAATTAATAAAGTAATTTTATAAGCCCCGGCAATAATTTTTAAATACGCGCGCTATTTTTTTTGGAATTATTTAACGGCGCTTTTAAAACGGCCCGTTGCTAATATAGCAATGTAAAAAGCTATTGCGCCGTATGCTAAAGCCGTACGGCAAATTATATTGTAAAAAAGCCTTCTTTTTGCAAACGTATTGCTTTACGTTAACAAAATAAATTGGGTAAATGCTAATTATTGCTTTTTTTGCTTGCCTTTTGCTTTTTTGGTATATTTTTTAAAATTAAAATAAGCATTTAGCTAAACCCTAAAAAATTTAACCATTTGGTTAAAAGTTACCGCCGTATTGCTAAATCGAATTACGGGCGTATTTTCGTTTTTATTAAAATGGATAAATTTTATTTTGGTATTATTAAATTTTATGCCGTATTTAATTGCCCATACTTTGCATTTTGGCCAAACTATTTTTAAAAAGCGGGCCGTATTTTTTGCAATATTTTTTATTGCCAATAAATTAATATCGTTGGCAAAATTGGTAACGAAAATTTTTAAAATGCTTTTAAAATTTTCGTACAATAATGCAATATATATAATAAAAAATATAAAAAATAAAAAAGAATTTTAAAAAATTCCGGCTTAAATTAAAATAAAGTTTAACGTATTGCCATTAAATTGCAAAGTGGCCGTTTTATTTACTAACCACTTTTTTACCCATTTTACAATTAGTAAAAAAAAGCCGTACTTTTTTAACGTATTTAGTAACCGTAAATGGTTAACGGTATTAAATGTTCCAAATAAATTAAATTATAATAATAACGCGGTAATGCCGTAATTCCATGCTATAATAATAGCTTTTATTGCTTTTTAAATTGCTAATTCCGTACTTTTAACCCGTTGGTTGCTTATTTAACCATTAGGAAAAATGCTTTTTTTTTCCGTTTTATTAACAATTCGTTTTGTTATAATTAATTTAATAGCTTTTAAAATTAATAATAACAAAGCAATAAGCTTTTATTTTCCGGTTTGTTTTTTTTTCGGTAATTTTGTTTAGTTTGGGTAATATTACCGTAAAGGCTTTTTTAAAGCGTTTTAAAAAATAGCTTGTAATAATTGTTGCGTTAGCAAATTTTGCGATAACGGTTGCGCCCGGCAATTTGGCGGTTTTAAATAACCCGTTCGGAAAGTAATTTTGGTTTATAACTTTTTATAATTTAGTACGGCCCGTTGCTTCCATAATATTTTGCGGGGTAACAAATACGGGCATTTAAAAAAGGTTTGGGAAAAAATGGTTTGGAAAATTAATTTTATTAATGTTAAATGTATTGGTTAATAGGTTTAAAAAAAATTTGGTTAATAAAATTTCGGTTTTTTTTTGGTAATTGCGTAACGTATTTGGGTTTTTTTCAATTTAAATTAAATTTAATAACCGGTTTGGGTTTTTTTTAAAAACTTTTTAAGCGGGTTTATTTTTCGAATTTCCAAAATGCGCCGTTTTTTTTAATATTTTATCCCGTTGCGGAAACGACGCTTTTTTAATAATTAAATATTATTTAACGTTTTTTTTTAACGAATGCTTTATTTGCGGTTTTGTACGCTTTTTATGCTATTTGCGTTTTGTTTTTAATAAATGCGCGTTATAAATGGCTTGTTTTTTTGCAAAAGTTATTAAATTTTTATATTTAATAAAAAGCGTATTTGTTAAAAAGGCTTGGTTTCCGTTAAAAGGTAAATTGGTTAGCAAATTTAATTAATTGCTGCATTAATTTATCCGTTTTTTTATTTATAATTTTGGCGTTATGCATATTCCCGGTTATTATTAATTTATTGGCCATTTTGGTTTTAAAATTTGCAAATTTATTTATTAATTTAACAAGAAAAAACCGCTTTTGCCTCCCCAACCTCGCGATGGGAAAACGCCATTAAATACAGCAAATTTAACATTAAATTTAAACTTTTCGCTTCCAGCTCGTTACCGAACGTATGTCCGCGCGCGAGCGCGCTTACGGCGCGGTTGCTAACAGCGCTAGCAACCCCGAAAGCGGCGGAGCGGTTACCGATCGCCCCAAAGCCAGCAACAATACCACTATAACCAACGCCCCCAACCCTTTCCCAACGCGTACCCGCATTGTAAATTTAAAAAACCAATTAATTAAAATATTAAAGCTTTTCGTGCTTTTTGGCAATACCGAATTAATGTTTAAAATTGTAAAAAAAATGGATTAAAACCGTAACAAACGCGTTCGAAACGCGATCCCGCAACCATTGCAATTATATGCTTAACCATTTTTATACTATAAAAAATAAAATTATCGTTAAAATACGCAACGTTTGCAAATAAATTACCAATTACATTTTGGTTTTAGCAATTGGTTTGCCGCAAAGCGGTTAAGCCGGCAATTACCCGCTTACGATCCGCCCTTACGCATTTTTTAATACCGGCCCCCCCCCCCCCGAAATATATTTCCGCGCGTACCGAACGCAAAATTACCATTTTAACCAAAAACGCTTTTTTTAAAATTGCAAACCGCATACCCGTTAAAATTATTATTATATTAATTAAAAAGTTCGGTAATAACGTAAAAGCAACGCGCAAATTTTTTAACGGTAACGTAATAATTTTATTTTATATAACCGCCGTTAAATATACGAAAAATATTGCGTAAATTATTAAAGTATTCGGCAGCAAAGCAATATACCAAACCCAAATTTATAACGTTATAATTAAAAGCATTTAATAAAACGCAACCAACAATAACAATATTTTGTTGCACGAATTTAAAGCGCACAATATTGGGGCCGAAATTAATTTTATTTATGTATGGAACGTTTGGCAACCGGAAAAATACGTTACGGTATTAGCTAGGATTACATTTCCCGCCGCAGCCCAAACCGTATGCAATAACGGTTTTATATTTAAAAGCGAAATTTTTAACGTTAAACCGTTTGCAACGGGAACAAAAGCCGTTTAATGTTATAAATGTTACGGGTAAGGATATAAATTAAAATTTTGCAAAAAAACGGCCCGTTACCCGCATTGCGCTAAACCGTTACATAGCAACGGTAAAGCCGGGGAATTTTTGTACCCGTTATATAAAAGTTAATTTGTTGCAAAAAAAAACGAACCGAAATGTTGCAATTGCGAAAGCAATTACCCGGCTTTTTAACGAAAGTGCCCCGCAACAAAAAAAAAAATTAAAAAGGCCAAAAATACATTTTTAAACCAACCGAAACAATTTGCTTTAAAAATGGGGAACGAGCGCGCATTTTAACCAAACCAAATAAACTATCCTGCCGTTTATACCTTCCCGCTTTTTACATTTATCCGCTTTTTACCCGGCCCCCCCCCAACCGTTATAAAAAAAAACAATTTATTTAATTTAAAATTGCTAACAAAACGCAAACGGGACGGTTTTTTATTAAAAATAACAAAAGCAAAAAAAAATTTCCCAACCAAAAAACAAATAAGCAAATTACGAAAATCCCGCAATAAAAAAACGTTAAGCTTTTTTAAATCCATTTCCAAAATAAACCAATACTTTACAAACCCAAATTTTGCCCTTTTTGGCTTTAACAAAATAGCGGGAATAAAGGGAACAAACGAATGCCGGGCCGCTAATAACCCAACGGCACCCAATAATACCGCGGTTACCAATTCCAACCTTATTAATGCGCTAAATTATAAAGCCCCTTTTTCTTTTTTTAACTTACCCTTACCCCAATCGCTTGCATTTTAACCGATTTAATTTGGCTTTACACCGGTACCGTTTAGCTTTTTTGCAACCGGAATTACATTTACTTTTAGCTAATTAATTAACGATAATAGCAACGTATGGAATTAAATATATTATATTAAAATATGGAAAAAAGCAAAAGGAAAAGCAACTTTTCCCTTTACAATAACAAATAATACAACATTTTAATTATCCAAAAGCCGGAACGCAATTAGCACGGAAACCTTTTAAAACCGTACGGTTGCAATTACGAATTTATTTATTACCAAAAATTTAATTTTAACGCAACATTTTACGTACATAACCGTTTTACCCCCAAATTGTAAACCGTTTGGTACGGTTACAATTAGGTTTTAATTACAATTATTACGCCGGAAAGCTTATTAAAAATATATTTAATATATTTTTTAAATCCTAAAGCAAGCCCCAATTAAGCAACGCTTTTTATTACAATTGCTATTTACCCAACCCAAAAGCACACAATCCTTACAAGCAATTTTAATTTTTATTACCCAATTTGGAATTTACATAATAAATATAACGCAAAAAACAAAACCTTTTTAAAATTAGCACGCCGCAAACGATTTAAATTAGCAACGCTTTATAAAAAGGTTACGAAAAGGAAATAAAAAAAAAAAATAGCACAATTAATTACGCTTAAATAACGCAACAATTCGAAATGGAATATTTAAAATAAAACAATACAATAAAAAGGTTTAACCATTTGTTCCAAATATTTTGCGTTTTTTTTAAATCGTAGCAATTTTAATTTCGATAAATTAAAGGTTAGAAATGGAAAAACGTTAAGTTAATAAAGGAATTGGCAAAAGCTAAAGCCAAAATAGCTAGCGAATTAATAACGATTAAGGATATGCATAACGCTAAAATTATAAACAAAAAAACCGATAAATTAATGCAATAATTAACCCAATTTGCTAACCAGCTAGCCTTTTAACGAAAACCAAACCCTTTTAACAAACGCGCTTTTTATTAAATATAAAAATTTAATAACTTTCGTAAAAAAGCGAACCGTTTGCAACGCGCTTTTATTAAAAATAAATTGCAAATAGCATGGAAAGCGTATAAAGCCGCAAATAAAGCATTTGTTAAAAAAAAACGCTAAACGATATTTAATTATTAAAAAAGCGTCGTTTTTGCAACGGGACAAAATATTAAAAAAAACGGCGTATTTTGGAAATTTAAAAAATGGGCCCGTTTAAAAAGCTTTTAAAAAAAAACCCCGAATTAATTACTAAATTTAATTAAAACCGGAAAAAACCTGGATACGCTTTATAGCCATTAAAAAAAAACCGAAATTTTGTTATCCAAGTTTTTTTTAAACCCGTTAATTAACATTTTCGATATTAGCAAAACCAAATTTCCGAATTATTTTTTCCTAAACCCTTTCCAAATGCCCGTTTTCGTTACCCCGCAAAATATTATGGAAGTAACGGGCCGTACCAAACCGTAAAAAATTACGGGCTAAAACCATTTTCCGAACGGGTTATTTAAAGCCGCCGGATTGCCAAATATAACCGTTATTGCAAAATTTGCTAACGCAACGATTGTTACAAGCTATTTTTCGAAGCGCTTTAAAAAGGCTTTTACGGTAATATTACCCAAATTAAACAAAATTATCGTAAAAAAAAAATAAATTGGGGGATAAAAATTTATTGCTTTGCTATTATTAATTTTAAAGGTTATTAAATTAATTATAACAAAGCGAATTGCTAACGAAGCGGAAAAAAAAAGCATTTTTTCCAACGGCTAAATGGGCAATTAACGGGTTAAAAGCACGAAATTGGCAATTTAAAAAATAATGGAAACGGTAATTGCAGCATGGAACCACGGCGTTACCGCGTTGTTATTACAATTTAATTTATTTAAAGCATTTAATATCGTTAACCATTTTTAATTGCTAAATACGTTAAAAAAATACGGTTTTTCCATACCAATTGTAAAATGGGTAAAAAGGTGGTTAGCAAATAAAACGGCCATTTTGCAATTTAATGGCAACATTTTAAACCCAATTTTAATTCGAACCGGAATTTTTTAAGGCTTTTTTTATTTTTTATATTTTTTATTATATATATTGCATTATTATATAAAAATTTTAAAAGCATTTTAAGGATTTTCGTTACCGGTTTTGCTAACGATATTAATTTATTAATAATAAAAAATACCGCAAAAAATACGGCCCGTTTTTTAAAAATAATTTAGCCAAAATGCAAAGCATGGGCAACCAAATACGGCATAAAATTTAATAGCACCAAAACCAAATTAATCCATTTTAGCAAAGATAAAGATTTGCCCGTAATCCAATTTGGCAATATAGCGATAGCTTTTAACCAAACGGTTAAATTTTTCGGGGTTTAGCTAAACGCCCGCTTTAATTTCAAAAAATATATAAAAAAAGCAAAAAGCAAGCAAAAAAAGCAATAATTAGCATTTATTTAATTTATTTCGTTAACGTAAAGCAATACGTTTGCAAAAAAAAGGCTTTTTTACATTGTAATGTACCGTACGGCCTTAGCATACGGCGCAATAACTTTTTATATAACCATACCGGCAACGGGCCGCCCTAAAAGCGCCGCCAAATAATTTTAAAAAAAATAGCGCGCGTATTTAAAAACCATTGCTAAGGCTTACAAAATTATTTTATTAATTAATTTTAAAATTAAATGCTTTACTTTTTTAATTAATTTATATTTAAACGAAAGGGTATTAAAAGCAAAAAAAAAATGGGAAAAATTTGGAATAAAAAACGTAATCCGGATTGGCATCGATAAAGTGCAATAATATTTTCGATAATTAGAATATCGTAAAAAAACAAAGGTACCATACCCATTTAATTTGGCAAGCAAAAACCGGTAAGCGCAAAAATGGAACCCGTTAAAACTTTTTAAACCCAAGCCCGGCCCCGCCCCGGTAATTATTTAAAAAATAATTAAAACGAAAGTTAATGCTAAAATATAAAAATTAATAAACCAAAAGCAAAAAAAAAAAAGGAAAGGAATGGTTTAAAATCGAATAAAACGCTAAATGCAAAAAAATCCGCGCTATAGCAACAAAAGCAAATTTATTTTAGCCCGCAACCCCCGCGAACAAACCCAATTTTAACGGTTTAGTGTTAAAAGTATACCAAAAATTTATTAAAGCTTAAAGCGCAATGGCCATTTAATTAAAAACGGAAAAATTGGGATTAAAAGCGTTTTTTTGGAATAAAAACGTTTTCGACGTGCATACGCCCCGTTGCCCGTGTAAAACCGGGCAACGGGAAATAACATTTTACTTATTTATTAAATGCCCTTTTTATACCAAATGGAGGATAAGTTCGGGCTAGGAAAATATAAGCCACCGTAAAGCATATTTCGAACGATAGTAACAAAAAATAAGCATTACTACCGGAATTAATACGGACCAGGACGGCCCCTTTTTGCCCCCTTTTTTTTTGTTAGCAGCACGTTTAACAATTAAAACAAATAAATTTAACAATTTTAAAATGGTAAAAAAAATAACCGATTAAAAATGCAAATACCAAAGGAATAAACCGCCCCAAATAAATAATTTAACGCTAAATTAATAACCAAATATAATTACTTTAATTATTAACCCAATATAAAAAAGTTACAATTATACGCTTAATTATACCTAGCAATATCCAATAGCAAGCTTGGAAATAAATTATTGCTTTATATGTTTTAGCGCGTACGGATTTTTTCCCGCGCCATTTCCAGTACCCGGTCGAAAAACGCCAAATTATTTTTATTATTACTTTATTTTATAATTGCCATATTTAATTGCTTACATAAATTAAAAAGTATAAAAGCAACGAAAATAATACTATTATTAAAAAGGGACCGGCATTTATTAATTGCTAAGCTTGCGCAAAAGCGAACTTTTTAACCTTTAAATTGTTAGCAATTTCCGTAACATCGTTAGTACGCGATAAGGCGTTAAAGGCTTTCGAAGCGTAAAAAGCAAAGGTTTAAAGTACCGATATTATATTGCTAAAAAGGGACCGTACAAGCTTCGAACCAATAGCATTAATACTTATAAAAACCTTAGCGCCAAAAAAAAAAGCATCCGGAAACGGTTAAGGGCAAAACTAATACCGGTAAGCACCCCGAATTTGTTAAACCCGTTTTTATTAGCACGCCGAAACGTGTAAACCTTAGCAATTAATGCGTTATAAGCCGTTTAGCACCGCATTATACCGTTAACGAACCGATAAAGCACAAGGAATTAATAAAATTAAAGCAATTTACCAAACATTTGCGGCAATTATTTAACCCAAAATTGCGCATGTTTTTAGCTTTAAAAAGCAATTAATAATATTTAGTAAAAAATACGGCCGCAATACGAGCTTTTTTAATAATAACGGGGTAAAGTTAAAAAAAAATACGTTAATAACCCGGCCAAATAACGGAAAAGAAAAAGGAAAAAACGATTTACCGTATTACACCAAATGTTTCGATTGGTACAAAAACGATAAAATAATGCGTTTGTATTTGGAAAAACCAGCAAATTAGCAAATAAAAAATTACCCAAAACCATAAAAAAACGAACCAATTTTAAAATAACAAATTGCAATTTTGTTAAGCCGCTTTTTCCCGCTTTACTTTTTACCCAAATTATTAAGCAAATAACCAATGCAACTTACGCAAATGTTACGCGCAAAATTAAATAATTAATTAAAGCGCAAATAAAAAAGGAACAAAAAAAGCATTTACATTATTTAATAATAAAGCAAAATGCTTTTAAAGATTTTCGTTAAAACGTTTATTGCTTTGCGGGTTATAAATTTGTATCGTTAAACGAAAAAATTAAATTAAAATAAAAAACGAAAACGATTTAGCGGCGAAAAAACAAAAAAAAACAAATTATATAATTAACGTTAACCCGCGCATTGCCGCCGTTATTATTGCTAACGCTAAAAAAACCGTTATTATTATTAAGCATTTCCACCGGGAAAGTACGGGAAGCGGGCCGGGCAAAAAAAGCGTTAAAAGCAACGAAATTGGAAAAAGGAAAAGTAATAACTGCCGCTTAACCACCATTACAAATACCGTTACCGCCGCGGCCAATGCGTTTGGTAAAATTAATTTTGGCCGTGCTTTTTTTTTAAAAAAAGCCGTTAATTGGCATTGCAATTAATTAAAATTAAAAGTAAAATTGGAAATGGCCGAAAGCGAAAAAAAAAAAATGCAACCAAACGCCGGAAATAAAAAGCGCGTTGGAAAAAATTAAAACGATAGGAATTAACCGGAAACGATGCAATAAAAAAATAACGGTTAAAAAAAAGAAGCATTGTACCAAAAAAAAAAAGTTAGAAAAAAAAGGTAAAAAAAAGGAAAAAAGGAAAAAAAGCAAGCAAAGCAAAAAAAAAGCACCGGCAAAGGAATAACCTTTTCGAACCCGCTTAAAGCTATTACGCCGGCAAAAAAAGGTACAATTACTTTTTAAATACAATTACTTACCTTTAACAAAACTACAAGCACCCGGATAGCAAATATAAAAAATACCGTTACTTTAACGGAAGCAACCAAGCATTGGGCCAATAAAAATACGCACGAAAACGTTAATAAAAATAACTACTAACATTTAATTACATAAAAAAAATAACGATAAAAAATAAGCTATACCATACCGGATACAAACCGCACCCAAAAGCATAACGCGGGGCCGGAAAGCGCGAAGCGCTAGCTTTACGCAATAACCACCCGGTTAGCCAAACTTTCGCTTATTAACGGCAATTGCCGGAATTACCCCAAAGCAATAGCGCTTTTTTAAAACCACATTTTTTATACGTTTTCCTTATAATTTTTCCATATATTAGCCTTTACCTTTACTTTACCATTACACCCTTTTGGCCGGGGGCACAAAAACGCTTCCTTACCGGAACATTTATTAACAATCGAACGAACTACAATAAACGGAACCAACGGTTTAACACCAACCCGGCACCGGTTCGTAAGCGCAGGGTTTTCCTCCTTAAGCCAAACCCAAGGGTTTCCTTTACGCATTACTTAGCAATAGCATTAAGGTTTTTCCTATAAACAAAACAAAGTATAAATATATATATATTTATTAATTTAACGTTTTTTTATTTGTAGCTTTTGGTTTATCGAAATTAAAATTGTTGCGGTTTAATAAAAACGCGGAATATTTGGAATAAATGGTTGGATTTTTTTATCGTATTGTTTTATTTTAAATATTCCATTTCGAATTGTTGCGTTACTTAAGCGTAATTAATTATGCTATTTCGTTTTTTTCGTGTTTTTTCGTAATTTTTCCGTAAAACGTTGTTAATTTAAATTGTTTGTAACGTATTAATTTTAAAAAGGTTTTGCTTTTTGCGTTGTATTTATTGTATAAATTTTAAATTAAATGGTAAAGGTTAAAATTGTTTGTAAGGATTGTATGCTTTTGGGTTAAGTAAATGGCGATTATGGTAAAAGGTATTGCCTTATCGGAATTTGCTTTAAAGTTTGGTAAATATATTAAATATATTTTAAATGGGCTTTCCGGCGTAATAATTGTAATTAAAGCTTAATTGTAACCGCACCGGGCGGTTTATAATTTGGGGGCTAAGCAATTATGCACGTAAAATGTTGCGTTGGAATTAAATTTTTGGTAATAAATAAATTCGTAATTGCAACTATACGGTTTCGATGGGTTTCCGTACTAATTGCGTTCCAACCCTTGGATAATTATAATATTATATTATTTATTGTTATAAAAGGGAAAAATGCTTTTTTTTTGCTTTTTTTTATATTTTAATATAATATGTTTATTTTTATAAATCGTTATTGTTATTAATTGGTTGGCTAAATGTAAACGTAATTCCGGTTGTAAAAAGGTTAAACGGGACCGGTATAAAGCCGGGCCGGGCTGGTTAAAATGCAAGCGGTTAAAGTAAAAGTAAAGCGGAAGCTTTATAATTTGGAACAAAAATAAAATTGGTATTAATGGTTGCGGTATTGCTAAATGCTATTGGGTTGTTAGCGGTTTAGCTTTTGTTTATTCCTTTTGTTCCTTTTATTTTGTTAAAACCGAAAAAAGCAAAATTTGGGTTTGTAAAGTATTGGTTTATTGTAAAAGCGGGTTTAAAAAAGTTTAACGTTTTTTTATTACGGAATTTTCGTAATTTGCTTACCCGTTTTTTAATTAAATTTTTTTTGTTTTTATTGCTTTTAGCAAAAAGCCGTTCCGTTTGCGTTTTATTAGCAATTTTAAATTAAATAAATTTTTTTTTTGTAACGGCTAAAAGGGGCTAAGCAAAAAGCAGATAAATGCAGAAAAAAAAAGGTAAAAGCGGTTGGTTAATTTGTTTGGTTTAATTAAAATACGCGTTCGTTTTTTATTTTTAAAGCAAATTATTTCGGCCGGTTTAAAAACGCGTTTTTAACTTTTTTAACTTTTTTTTTTGCTACGGGGTACGTTTATTAAAAAGCCGGGTAATTGCTTTCGCAATTGCAACATTTTGGCTCGCTTTTTTTTGCAATAAATTAATTGCTATAAATCCAAAACCGATTTTGCTTCCCCAACTTCGCAACGGGAAAACGCCATTAAATATAGCAAATTTAACATTAAATTCAAACTTTTCGCTTCCGGCTCGCCACCGGACGTATGTCCGCGCGCGAACGCGCTTACGGCGCGGTTGCTAGCAGCGCTAATAACCCCGAAAGCGGCGGAACGGTTACTAACCGCCCTAAAATTAGCAATAATATTATTATAACTAATGCTTTTAACCCTTTCCCAACGCGTATTTGCATTGCAAATTTAAAAAACCAATTAATTAAAATATTAAAGCTTTTCGTGCCCCCCGGTAGCACTAAATTAATGTTTAAAATTGTAAAGGAATAAATTAAAACCGTAACAAACGCGTTCGAAACGCGGTTTTGCAACCATTGCAACCATATGCTTAACCATTTTCGCATTATAAAAAACGAAATTATCGCTAAAATACGCAACGTTTGCAAGCAAATTATTAATTACGCTTTGGTTTTAGCAATTGGTTTACCGCAAAGCGGTTAAACCGGCAATTACCCGCTTACAATCCGCTTTTACGCATTTTTTAATACCGGCCCCCCCCCCCCCCAAAATATATTTTTACGCGCATTAAACGCAAAATTACCATTTTAACCAAAAACGCTTTTTTTAAAATTGCAAACCGTATACCCGTTAAAATTACCATTACATTAATTAAAAAGTTTGGCAATAACGTAAAAGCAACGCGCAAGCTTTTTAACGGTAACGTAATAATTTTATTTTATACAATTACCGTTAAATATACAAAAAATACCGCGTAAATTACCAAAGTATTTGGTAGCAAAGCAATATATTAAACCCAAATTTATAACGTTATAATTAAAAGCATTTAATAAAATGCAACCAATAATAATAACATTTTATTGCACGAATTTAAAGCGCATAATATTGGGGCCGAAATTAATTCCATTTATGTATGGAACGCCCGGTAACCGGAAAAATACGTTACGATATTAGCCAAAATTACATTTCCCGTTGTAGCTTAAACCGCATGCAATAACGGCTTTGTATTTAAAAGCGAAATTTTTAACGTCGAACCGTTTGTAACAAAAGCGAAAGCCGTTTAATGCTATAAATATTACGGGTAAAAATATAAATCGAAATTTTGCAAAAAAACGGCCTATTGCCCGTATTGCGTTAAACCGTTGCATAGCAACGGTAAAGCCGGGGAATTTTTATACCCGTTGTACGGGGGTTAATTTATTACAAAAAAAAGCAAATCGAAATGTTGCAATTGCGAAAGCAACCACCCGGTTTTTTTAACGAAAATGCCCCGCAACGAAAAAAAAAATTAAAAAAGCCAAAAATACATTTTTAAACCGGCCAAAACAATTTGCTTTAAAAACGGGAAACAAGCGCGCACCTTAACCAAATTAAATAAACCATTTTACCATTTATACCTTTTCGTTTTTTGCATTTATCCGCTTTTTACCCGGCCCCCCCCAACCGTTACAAAAAAAGGATAACTTGTTTAATTTAAAATCGCTAACGAAATGCAAACGGAACGGCTTTTTATTAAAAATAACGAAAGCAAAGGAAAATTCTTTAGCCAGAAAACGAATAAGCAAATTATAAAAATCCCGCAATAAAAAAACGTTAAATTTTTTTAAATTCGCTTCCAAATTAAACCAGTATTTTACAAACCCAAATTTCGCCTTTTTTGGCTTTAACAAAATAGCGGAAATAAAGGGAACAAACGAATGCCGGGCCGTTAATAACCCAACGGCACCTAGCAATACCGCGGTTACCAATTCCAACCTTACCAATGCGCCAAATTACAAAGCCCCCTTTTTTTTCCCCAATTTACCCCCACCCTAACCGTTTGCATTTTAGCTAACCCAATTCGGCCTTATACCGGCACCGTTTAGCCTTTTTGCAACCGGAATTACGTTTACTTTTAGTTAACCTATTAACGATAATAATAACGTATAAAATTAAACATATTATATTAAAATATAAAAAAAAGCAAAAAAAAAAGCAATTTTCCCTTTTATAGCAATAAATAATACAACATTTTAACCATTTAAAAGCCGGAGCGCAACCAGTACAAAAACCTTTTAAAACCGTACGGTTGCAATTACAAGCTTATTTATTACCAAAAATTTAATTCCAACGCAATACTTTACGTGCACAACCGTTTCGCCCCCAAATTGTAAACCGCCCGGTACGGTTATAATTAAGCTTTAATTACAATTATTACGCCGGAAAGCCCATTAAAAATATATTTAATATATTTTTTAAATTTTAAAGCAAGCCCCAATTAAATAACGCTTTTTATTATAATCGTTACTTACCCAACCTAAAAATATACAATCCTTACAAGCAATTTTAATTTTTATTACTTAATTTAAAACTTACATAATAAATATAACGCAAAAAGCAAAACCTTTTTGGAATTAGCACGCCGCAAACAATTTAAATTAGCAACGTTTTACAAAAAAGTTACGAAAAAAAAACGAAAAAAAAAAAATAGCACAATTAATTACGCTTGGGTAACGCAACAATTTAAAATAAAATATTTAAAATAAAACAATATAATAAAAAAGTTTAACCATTTATTCCAAATATTTTGCATTTTTTTTTTAAACCGCAATAATTCCAATTCCAACAAATTAAAAGCTAAAAATGGAAAAACGTTAAGTTAATAAAAAAATTAGCAAAAGCTAAAGCCAAAATGGCTAACAAATTAATAATAACCGGAAACATGCATAACGTTAAAGCTATAAATAAAAAAATTAATAAATTAATGCAACAATTAACCCAATTTGCTAACCAGTTAGCCTTTTAACGGAAACCAAACCCTTTTAACAAACGCGCCCCTTACTAAACACAAAAATTCGACGATTTCCGTAAAAAAGCGAACCGTTTGCAACGCGCTTTTATTAAAAACAAAACGCAAATAATATAAAAAGCGCACAAAGCCGCAAATAAAACATTTATTAAAAAAAACGCTAAATAATATTTAACCATTAAAAAAGCGTTGTTTTTGTAACGGAATAAAATATTAAAAAAAACGGCGCACTTTAAAAATTCGAAAAATGGGCCCGTTTAAAAAGCTTCCAAAAAAAAACCCGAATTGGTTACCAAATTTAATTAAAACCGGAAAAAATCCGAACACGCTTTATAGCTACCAAAAAAAAGCCGAAATTTTATTATCCAAATTTTTCCTAAACCCGTTAATTAATATTTCCAATATTAACAAAACCAAATTTCCGAACCACTTTTTCCTAAACCTTTTTTAAATGCCCGTTTTCGTTACCCCGTAAAACATTATAAAAGCAACGGGCCATACCAAACCGTAAAAAGCTACGGGCTAAAACCATTTCCCGAACGGGTTATTTAAAGCCGTTAAATTGCCGGGCGCAACCGCTATCGCGAAATTTGCTAACGCAACGATCGCTACAAATTATTTTCCAAAGCGTTTTAAAAAGCCCTTACGGTAATATTACCTAAACCAAGCAAAATTACCAAAAAAAGGAAATAAACCGGGGGATAAAAGCTTATCGCTTTATTGTTATTAATTTTAAAAGCCATTAAATTAACCATAGCAAAACGAATTGTTAATAAAGCGAAAAAAAAAGCATTTTTTTTAATGGCCAAATGGGCAATTAACGGGTTAAAAGCACGGAATTAGCAATTTAAAAAGTAATAAAAGCAATAATTGTAGCATGGAACTACGGCATTACCGCGTTATTATTACAATTTAACCTATTCGAAGCATTCGATACCGTTAACCACTTCCAATTGCTAAATACGCTAAAAAAATACGGTTTTTTTTTACCAATTATAAAATGGGTAAAAAGGTGGCTAGCAAATAAAACGGCCATTTTGCAATTTAACGGTAACATTTTAAACCCAATTCCAATTCGAACCGGAATTTTCCAAAGCTTTTTTTTATCCTTTATACTTTTTATTATATATATTGCATTATTATATAAAAATTTTAAAAGCATTTTAAAAATTTTCGTTACCGGTTTTGCCAATAATACCAATTTATTAGCAATAAAAAATACCGCAAAGGATACGGCCCGCTTTTTAAAAGCAATTTAGCCAAAATGCAAAATATAAACAACCAAACACGGCATAAAATTTAACAATATTAAAACCGAATTAATTTATTTTAACAAAAACGAGGATTTGCCCGTAATTTAATTCGGCAATATAACGGTAACTTTTAGCCAAACGGTTAAATTTTTCGGGGTTTGGCTAAACGCCCGTTTTAATTTTAAAAAATATATAAAAAAAGCAAAAGGCAAGCAAAAAAAGCAATAGCTAGCATTTATTTAATTTATTTCGTTAACGTAAAGCAATACGTTTGTAAAAAAAAAGCTTTTTTATAACGTAATATATTGCACGGCTTTAGCATATAGCGCAATAGCTTTCCATATAACTATACCGGCAACGGGCCGCTTTAAAAACGCCGCCAAACAATTTTAAAAAAAATAGCGCGCGTATTTAAAAACCATTGCCGGGGTTTACAAAACCATTTTATTAGCTAATTTCGAAATTAAATGCTTTACCCCCCCAATCGATTTGTATTTAAACGAAAAGGTATTAAAAGCAAAAAAAAAATGGAAAAAATTTAAAATAAAAAACGTAATTTAAACCGGTATCGATAAAATGCAATAATATTTTCGATAATTAAAATATTGTAAAAAAATAAAAGTACTATACCCATTTAGCTTAGCAAGCAAAAACCGGTAAGCGCAAAAATGGAACCCGTTAAAACCTTTTAAACCCAAGCCCGGCCCCGCCCCAGCAACTATTTAAAAAGCGATTAAAATAAAAGCCAATGCTAAAGTATAAAAATTAACGAACCAAAAGTAAAAAAAAAAGGAAAGAAATGGTTTAAAATTAAATGGAACGTTAAATGCAAAAAAATCCGCGCTATAGCAACGAAAACGAACCCATTCCAGCCCGTAACCCCCGCAAATAAACCTAGCTTTAACGGTTTAATGCTAAAAGCATACCAAAAATTTACCAAAGCTTAAAGCGCAATAGCCATTTAATTAAAAACGGAAAAATTGGGATTAAAAGCGTTTTTTTAAAATAAAAACGTTTTTAACGTGCATACGCCCCGTTGCCCGTATAAAACCGGGCAACGGGAAATAACATTTTATTTGCTTGCTAAATGCCTTTTTTATACCAAATGGAAAATAAATTTGGGCTGGAAAAATATAAGCTACCGCAAAGCATATTTTAAACGATAGCAATAAAAAATAAGCATTATTACCGGAATTAATACGAACCAAAACGGCCTTTTTTTTGCCCCCCCCTTTTTTTTGCCCCCCCTTTTTTTGTTAACAGCACGTTTGGCAATTAAAACAAGCAAATTTAACGATTTTAAAGTGGTAAAAAAGAACGACCAATTAAAAACGCAAATACCAAAAAAACGAACCGTTCCAAATAAATAACCCAACGCTAAATTAATAACCAAATATAATTATTTTAATTATTAACCCAATATAAAAAAGCTACAATTATACGCCCAATTATACCTAATAACATTTAATAGCAAATTTGGAAACGAATTGTTGCTTTACATGTTTTAACGCGTGCGGATTCTTTCCCGCGCCATTTCCAGCACCCGGTTAAAAAACGCCAGGTTATTTTTATTATTACTTTGTTTTACAATCGCTATATTTAATTATTTATATAAATTAAAAAGTGCAAAAGCAATAAAAACAATATTATTACCGAAAAAGGACCGGCACTTACCAATTGTTAAATTTGCGCAAAAGCGAACTTTTTAACTTTTAAATCGTTAGTAACTTCCGCAGCATCGTTAGTACGCAATAAAGCGTTAAAAGCCTTCGAAGCGTAAAAAGCAAAAGTTTAAAGCATTAACACCATATTGCCGGAAAAGAACCGTACAAATTCCGAACCAGCAGCACCGGTACTTATAAAAACCTTAGCGCCAAAAAAAAAGGCATTCGAAAACGGCTAAAGGCAAAACCAATACCGGTAAGCACCCTGGATTTGTTAAGCCCGTTTTTATTAATACGTTGGAACGTGTAAACCTTAATAATTAATGCGTTATAAACCGCTTAGCACCGCACCATATCGTTAACGAACCGATAAAGGATAAAAAACCAATAAAATTAAAGCAATTTACCAAATATTTGCGGCAATTATTTAACCCGAAATTGCGCATATCTTTAACTTTAAAAAGCGATTAATAATATTTGGCAAAAAGCACGGCCGTAATACGAACTTTTTTAATAACAACGGGGTAAAGCTAAAAAAAAATACGTTAATAACCCGGTTAAATAATAAAAAAAAAAGAAAAAACGATTTACCGTATTACACCGGATATTTTAATTGGTACAAAAACAACAAAATAATGCATCCGTATTTGGAAAAACCAACAAATTAGCAAACAAAAAAACTATTCGAAATTATAAAAAAAACAAACCAATTTTAAAATAACAAACCGCAATTTTGCCAAACCGCTTTTTTTTTGCTTTGCTTTTTACCCAAACCATTAAATAAATAATTAATGCAATTTACGCAAATGTTACGCGCAAAACTAAATAATTAATTAAAACGCAAGCAAAAAAAAAACGAAAAAAGCATTTACGTTATTCGATAATAAAGCAAAATGCTTTTAAGGATTTTCGTTAAAGCGTTTATCGTTTTACAAATTATAAATTTGTATCGTTAAATAAAAAAATTAAATTAAAATAAAAAAACGAAAACAATTTAGCGGCAAAAAAATAAAAAAAAACGAATTATATAATTAACGTTAATTTGCGCGTTGCCGCCGTTATTATTGCTAGCGCTAAAAAAGCCATTGTTATTATCGGGCATTTTTACCGGGAAAGTACGGAAAACGGGCCGGGCAAAAAAAGCGTTAAAAATAACGGAATTGGAAAAAGGAAAAATAGCAATTACCGCCCAACCATTATTACAAACGCCGTTACCGCCGCGGTTAACGCGTTTAGCAAAATTAACTTTGGCCGTACTTTTTTTTTAAAAAAAGCCGTTAATTAACATTGCAACCAATTAAAATTAAAAGTAAAATTGGAAATGGCCAAAAGCAAAAAAAAAAAAGTGCAACCAAACGCTAAAAATAAAAAGCGCGTTAAAAAAAATTGGAATAATAAAAATTAATTAAAAGCAATGCAATAAAAAAGTAACGGTTAAAAAAAAAAAGCATTATAACCAAAAAAAAAAAAATTAAAAAGGAAAAGGTAAAAAAGGAAAAAAAAAAAGAAAAAAAAAAGGAAAAAAAGGAAAAAAAGCAAGTAAAGCAAAAAAAAGGCACCAGCGAAGGAATAACCTTTCCAAACCCGTTTAAAGCTACCACGCCGGCAAAAAAAGGCACAATTACTTTCCAAATACAATTATTTACTTTTAACAAAGTTACAAGCACCCGGATAGCAAATATAAAAAGTACCGCCACTTTAACGGAAATAACCAAGCACCGGGCCAATAAAAATACGTACAAAAACGTCGATAAAAATAACCATTAATACCCAATTACATAAAAAAAATAACGATAAAGGATAAGCTATACCATACCGGATACAAACCGCACCCGGAAGCACAACGCAAGGCCGGAAAGCGCGAAACGTTAGCTTTACGCAACAACCACCCGGCTGGCCAAGCTTTTGCTTATTAACGGCAATCGCCGGAATTACCCCAAAGCAATAGCGCTTTTTTAAAACCACATTTTTTATACGTTTTCCTTATAATTTTTCCATATATTAACCTTTACTTTTACTTTACCATTATACCTTTTTGGCCGGGGGCACAAAAACGCCTTTTTGCCGGAACATTTATTAATAATCGAACGAATTACAATAAACGGAGCCAGCGGTTTAATACCGATCCGGTACCGGTTCGTAAGCGCAGGGTTTTCCTTTTTAAGCCAAATTTAAAGGTTTCCCCCACGCATTATTTAGCAATAGCATTAAGGTCTTTTTTATAAATAAAACAAAGTATAAATATATAAATTAATTGCTATAAAACGGGCACAAAAATTATTTTTTTTGCCGTTGCTATGCAACGGCCCGGCGCAATATAAATAACGGGTTATTTTTTTGTAAAATTTCGATTTATGTTTTTACCCGTAGCATTTATAGCATTAGGCGGTTTTTGCCCCAATTGCAAACGGTTTAACGTTAAAAATTTTGGTTTTAAATATTAAACCGTTATTGCATGCGGTTTAAATTGCAACGGGAAATGTAATTTTAACCAATACCGTAACGTACTTTTCCGGTTGCTAAACGTTTTATATATGGATAAAATTAATTTTTGCTTTAATATTTTGCGTTTTAAATTTGTGCAATAATTTGTTATTATCGTTAGCGGCATTTTAACAAACGCTTTTAATTATAACGTTATAAATTTAGGTTTGGTATATTGCTTTATTACTAAATACTTTAATAATTTACGCAATGTTTTTCGTATGCTTAATAATAATTATATAAAATAAAATTATTACGTTATTATTAAAAAGCTTACGGGTTGTTTTTATATTATTACCGAACTTTTTAATTAATGTAATGGTAATTTTAACGGGTATGCGGTTTCTAATTTTAAAAAAAGCGTTTTTGGTTAAAATTGTAATTTTGCGTTTGGTGCGCGCGAAAATGTATTTTGGGGGGGGGGGGGGGGGGGGGCCGGTATTAAAATATGCGTAAAAGCAAATTGTAAACGGGTAACCGCCGGTTTAACCGCTTTATAACAAATTAATTGTTAAAATTAAAGCGTAATTGGTAATTTGCTTGCAAACGTTGCGTATTTTAGCAATAATTTCGTTTTTTATAATACGGAAATGGTTGGGCATACAATTGCAATGGTTGCGGGTTTGCGTTTCGAACGCGTTTATTACGGCTTTAATTTATTTTTTTACGATTTTAAGCATTAATTCGATGCTACCGGGGGGCATAAAAGGCTTTAATATTTTAATTAATTGGTTTTTTAAATTTGCAATGCTAATGCGCGTTAGGAAAGGGTTAAAAGCGTTGGTTATAATAATGTTATTGTTAGCTTCGAAGCGGTTAGTAACCGTTTTGCCGCTTACGGGGTTGCTAACGCCGCTAGCAACCGCGCCGGAAGCGCGTTCGCGCGCGAATATATGTTCGGTAGCGAGCCGGGGGCGAAAAGTTTAAATTTGATGTTAAATTTGCTGTATTTAATGGCGTTTTCCCGTTGCGAGGTTGGGGAAGCAAAAAGTCCTTTTTCGTAATTGTTGCTTTATTTAAATATAAAATAATTTTTTTTTAAAAAAAATTGCTAAAATATGCAAAAAATTATTTGAATTTATGAAAAAACTTATGCAAAAATTAACTTAACATAACTAATTAAGTTAATTAAGTAAGTTAATTTTTTTTAAGTAAGTTATTAATTAGTTACACCGTTAACTTTAACTAACTTACTTACAAAAGTTATGAATTTAACTTATAACTTTTAACTTAATTCCTAACCCTGGGTGCAAGCCAAAAGCCATGCACCAATTTATTATATATCCCCTTTTTCCCGGGTTGCTTCCGTTATAAAAGCCCAAGCCAAAAAGGGCTAACCCTTGTACGCTAAGAATTAAAACCCGGCTTTTTTACAACCTTTTAAATGCTAAAAAACTTTTTCGTTATTTAACAAAGCCTTTTCGGTTTGTAAAAGCTAAAAAAAACTTTAAAAATCCAATTTTTGCTTTGCATGCACGTATGTACCATTCCGGTACGGCACCGCTACGGGAAATCCAGCTTTTTACCGCGTGCTTTGCTAGCAAAAAAAACCTTTATAGCGTTTTTTAAAGTAACCCGTTTTTCCCGCTTTACGAATAAAGCTTGGGTTATAAATGCAATAGCTTTGGGTTAAATTTAAACCGGGTTTATAAACCGTTGCATTTACGGCAACGTTTTAAAACGCAAATAACGGGTTTTCGTTACCCCGTATGCTAATTAACGGCCGGGTTTACACCGGGTTTAGCGGGTACTAATTACGGGATTGCTACAAAAATAAAATTATTTAATGTTATTACGTTTTTAAAAATTTACGTAATAAAATTATAAAGCTTTTAATTTTTTTCGGTTAAAAAGCTTTTTGGTTAAAGCGCTTTTAAAAACGTAAAAAAACCGTTGCCGTTAATAAAATTACCAAAATTTTAAAAGTTTAACCCCCGGTGCTGGCCCGGTATCGCTTTTTATCCCAATGGGCTAAAAATTCGGTTAACGGCTTTTTTTTATTGCTAACGCATTGTTATTAAAGCTAACCCGGCCCGCTTTTCCTTTCGAACGTTGCTTAAATTTGCTTTAACCTTATTTAAAAACCCCGTTAAGTTCGCTTTTTTTTGCGTACCGTTAGCAAAAGCGTATTCGAAATATTAAAACTTAAAGGTTTTAAAGCGGCTGTAAACGTAAAAAAATTGGGCTTGGCCGCTTTTTATTTATTAGCCGTTAGTAACCATTTTTGCCCGCTTTTTTAAAAGCTAAAAATTAAAGCTTTTTTTTGTAAAATCCGGCGGGTATAAAAATTGCTGCCAACCTAACGTACTATTTAACATCGTTTTGGTAATAATTAATAAGCCAAAACGATAAACCTTTGTTAATTGTTACGGTATAACCTTAATGGTAATAAACGCCGTTATAAAAAAACGAAGTTATTAATAAAGGTGCAAAAAGGATTTAAATGGAACCTTTTCCCGTAATCGCCGAAGGCACTATATACCACGTGGCTACAACCACACAAGCTACCAAAGCGGTGCAGGCCAAAAGCCATGCACCGATTTATTACATAAAGCACTTAAAGAATATTAAGTAATAGTACGTAGTTTAATAAATTAATGGGATTTACAAATATTTTTGGTACGGTTTAAATGCTTGCTTTAAAGGTTATTTAAAAGCTAACTTAAATTAATTAATACTAATACATTTATTAAAAACTATTTAGGATAATGAAAACCCCTTCTTTTTTATACTTTTTGTAGCCCTTTTTAACTTTGGTTAATACGTACACCTTGCAACCGTATCGCCGGTGCCCGTGGTAATGCGTATAATACGGTCCCATATCATACGTATCACCCTGGAGTCACGTAACCAGGAGCGGGGTAACCCCTCCTGCTAGCCTGTGCAGCCACTTCTCCTGGCCTCCTTCCTGGGCCATGGTTGTTAGTCGTAACAGCAAGCGGAAATAGAAATTAAAGCGCAGGTTGCGGCTTTGCTGGCCCCCTGCAAAAAAACTGCATGCGGGAAAACGGTTAAGTCCCGGACAAAGCCTTTACAAACAATCGAGCAAAGGAAAAAAAAATAAGCGCAACTACCGGTTCAACACTGCTACGGAAGCGCAACGCTATAAAAGCGGAACGCAAGCGCAGGGTTTTCCTCCTCAAGCTTAACCCAAGGGTTTTTCCCCACTTATGTGCCAAGCAAAAGCATTAAAGTTTTTTTAATAAACAAAACAACGTATAAATAAATAAATATATCAAGTAGCTTTAATAAATACACCGGTATTAATTAATTTAAGCTAGCTAATACTATGAACGCTTTCTTTAAGCTGCTTTACTTTAGGAGCAGTGCAATTTTGTTTGTAACAATGCTACGGGGTTGGAGGGGCTTTAAAGCCACCCTATCCCGATAACCTACGCGGGTCCGGCGAAGCTTATCGGGCGTGAGGGTAAATCTTGCTGCGAAGTCGGAGGGGCTTAGTGTGGTCGTGGCCCGGCTTCGGCCAGAGCCTTTTACTCCGGGCACCAGCCTGTAACAACGCGCAACAAAAAATTATGACGCAACATTAAAGTTTTGTTTAATAAGCTGTTGTTGTGCGATCAAAAAGGCAAGCTTACTTTTTGCTGGCTGGTAGCAAGAGGCCGGCTATATACTGGGTTGGTCGTCGCCCGGGTGTAGGACTAAGGATTGTACCGCGAGACTGCCCCTAGTTCTCTTTCCCCTCCCAAACCTCGACATTGCCAATAACGACAACGCTCTGCCGCTTCCTGTCCCAGAATCCTGCCTCGTCAGCCGCGATGGCAGCCTTGGCTTCGTCGGTGTTCAAGGATTGAACAAACGCGCCAAAAGCCTCCTCGCTCTCGCAGGTGATCTCGGCGATAACGTCGTGAAACATGGAGTCGGGGGAGCCGGCGAGGAACACGGGCTTATCATCCGGGCCCTCGTGCTTCGGGTACCACCTTGTGTGCTTCAGCGGGGCGGCGTCGCCCGCGAGCTTGGCCATGAGGTGCATGTGCTGCTCGTAGCGGGATTTGAAGTAGTCGTGGGTGATGCCGTCCTTGCGCCCGGCGAGGACCATAACTTTGTAGACCATGTTGAAGGGAGTGGTAGCTAGGCGCGCCGATGAAGGTGTGGTTGGCAGGGTCAGCTGGGAGCCAATGAGTTGGAACGATGAAGGGCGGGTAGGGCTACTGGGATAGAATCTTGGCTGAGCCAAGTCTGCTCCGTGAGTTGAGGATAAGAAATAACATCCTCAAAAAGATGGGATATGGCGGTATTTATAGCAAAACTTGCGCCCCGTTAACACGTTTTGCCCCCAACTTCCAGCACACACACTAACAATCCATAGATATCTCGAACGTACTCGACAGCTCTCTAACTGGCACAGAAGGCATTCGAAAACAGTAGTAGATGGGCGAATGTTCGAGAATTCAGTAGACTTTCTCTCTAAGTTCTACGTCGACCAATCGGGCCCAAGGCTAGCTACCGTCAGCACTGAGTGAGATTAGGCGCGCCTCGTGTGATCCACTGGTTATCTTCCCCCAGCACAGAACGGGCTTGGCGCTGACAACTAAGGAAGGAAGCTGATACTTTAGGCAACGGGAGAATCTAATACGCCCTCGCCATGTAGCTCCTGGCGCTGGAAGCGGATGGGAGGGTGGGGTCTTACGGAAGAAGCGCTTTCTAGGCTATCTCAGGCGTTTCGATGTAATTGAGCGTCAAGCGTAGCGATCGGTGCGGCTACAATCGTGTGGTGGACAATATGGTGGTATTGATGGTACAGGAACTCGCTATCTCATAGGAATGTTCGCAGATCTGCGCTGTCGTAGACTCAGCGACCTGACTGAGGCCTTCCATCACCTAGCTCAGCCTGCCTCAGAGTACTCGGATCCTCCATCTCGGTCGCGAGGCCAAACCCGAGCTCCTGTGGCTGATTCACGTGAGGCATTTCCTGGTAGCCGGTCACTGCTGACTGCGCCGTGTACGCGTACGGACTGTACGGGCTGTACGGCCCCTTCTGGTCGTTGAATGCGCCTCCTGGATGGTGCTTGGGTGTCCCTGATGCTGCCTCTACTGCCTCCCCTGTTCCTGTCTGTTCCTGCCTGCTTCTCTTGCGCCTAAACACCACGATTCCTACAACCAATAGTGCCAAGAGAGCACCCCCGACGGTCGCACCAACTGCGATGCCGGCTATAGCGCCGGAGCCCAGGGCTTGAGGCTCTGCCGCGGGAGTTGGCTGCGGCGACTCAGTAGCTCCAGCAGGCGACGATTGTGCCGGCACAGACGAAGACTGCGTCGTGAGTGGCTGGCTGGGCTTCGGCGCACATGACGCGACGGCGTTTAGAGGCGAGGCTTTGAATTGGGTTTGCCCAAGCGACTGGGAGGGAGCATTGCAGCCGACGGCGATGGTGTTGTCGCTCATACGCTCATATATGCCATCCGCCGATGACAGACAGCACCAGCCCCCGTTGTTCGTCGAATTATCGACTCCCCAAAGAGTAAATGTCGGGTCAGGGCACTGTTCGCGTACTTGTGTTAACAAGGGACCCCGGATTCGAGTCAGGGCGAGGACGGTACCTTTGGCGCCTCCGTTGCCTTCCGGGTGCAGTCCTCCCCCGGAGCACAGCAATAGTTCCCCACATAGGCTCCCTCGCCGGTGCAGACCTGGCCGGCCGGACAGCAGCGGGGCTGGAGACCCCTGCCGCATCGTACTGGCGCCGCCGGAGGGCAGTCACCTTCGTTGCGTAGGGCCCAACCGCCGGTATAGGCGCAGGACTGTGCGTCAACTACCCGGCCGAGGCCTAGTAGGGGAAGGGCCAGCAGCAGCAGCAGCGGCATGGGGCCGCTGGCGTGAGGTTGGCGACTTGGTCAATTTTCGCGGTTTCGGAGGGAGCGAGGCGGGCAATGCGATCGCGTTCCTCAAGGAGTTGAGAAGCCAAAGGCTCGCGCATCAGGATGAGGGTATCGGGAGGAAGAAAATAGAAAACAGAACAAGCGCCGGCAAGTTCGCAGTGGCGGCGGGATGGGCCGGCGGAGACATGATGAGAGTGGGTGGCGGGCCAGGGGTATTCACGCCGAGGTGCAGGGTTGCTGCGCAAATTACCCACGGAGCTGGTGCAACACAGCTTAGGCTATGTGTGGTAGGGCACTCGAGTCGATGTGATCATTTCGGCTTGGCCCGTCTTGGCGATGTCCCCGCGCCTCGTTGGCGGCCAATCGTGCCGCCGCCGTCAGCATCAGCATAAGGGGCGACGGGGCGTGGTGAATACGAATACTCGTTTGTCCATCATGAAGGAGGATGGTCGTCAACCTCCTTGTCTCATCGATTAAAACACCAAAAGCGGGCAGTCATTCCTCGCGAAAGACTGGAGGGACCTGGCCAGGCCGTCACACTATTCAGCAGGGTCGCGTTGGGGTCGTGGGGGCTGAGATATCCCGCAGCGCGCTCAAAGTGGCAAGGCGTCGGCGTTGGCGCTGACTGAAAGTGGCGCTGTCGCCGATTAGCAAGCCCGCTTCCCCACCCAGGTGGCTCGGCGCTATAATCATCAAAGGAGTGTCACATCGCCCATTGTCTCCTGCATTAAAACGTTCGTCATTCCTCTATACGACACAGCCCAAAACTCTACAAGCCAAAAGGCTAGCGCTGCCAGCCGGAAAATTAGTACGTTGAGGGAGTCTGTGCGAGCCTGCCACCGTCCACAACCAGGATGAGTCCATCACAGTAAGAGCCAGCCCGACTCGCCAGGTACAGGACAGTTCCTCCCATCTCGTCGTACCCGCCAAACTTCCTCGCCGGGATCCAACGCGGGTCATTGGGGGACTCGTTCTCGGGCTGGCGTTCGCCGATCATATGGGAAGCGAGTTCCGAAGGAAACACTTGTCCGCGTGTCGCCGGTGGTCAGCAGAGGTCAAACTACGAGAGAAGGCCTTGGGCAGACCCGAGGGACAGGAACGTGATCGACTACTTACACCCTGGAGCGAGCCCGTTCACGCGGATCCCATGCGTCGTCAGCATGGTCGCCGCGACCTTGGTCAACTGGATCAGAGCCGCCTTGCTGCCGCCATACGAGGGCGACGAGCGGATGGACTTGAGGTAGCCGGCGACGCTGGCGATGAAGATTACCTGGCTCTGGATCGAGGGCGCCTTGCCGCCGGGTGTGAGGGGCGCGCCGTAGCCGCCCTTCTCCACAGCCCGCTTGTTGCCGGCGTCGAGCAGCTCGAGGAAGCCGAGCATGGTGAAGTAGGCGCCGGTGACGTTGAGGTGGAAGGTCGCCGTCATGGCTTCCATGTCCATTTCGTCGAACAGGGTCTTCCTCAGCTCCGAGATGCTCTTGGTCGGATCCCAGTGGTTCCCGGGCCCGTACTGACCCGAGTTGCACACTACGAGGTTGACATAGCCCGTGTCGGCTGCCACTTTGTCCACCGCGGCCTGGATGGAGGCTTTTGACGTCACATCACACTGAATCGGAACGATCTTGCCCTCGCTTCCAGCCGCGGCAGTCTCTAGCGCTTGCATGCGGCGGCCTAAGATGAAAACCTTGCTGGCGCCATTGGCGACGAGCGCTTGGGTCATCTGTTGGGGTTAGCATGTGTGCGGCCGACCTAATAACAGCCGAGTGTTCTGCTTACCAATAAGCCGATTCCGGTGCCGCCGCCGGTGATGACAGCGACGAGGCCGTCCACTCGGAACAACGCGGATGCATCTGCCATCTTGTCTGATCTTTTGCCCTTCCTGTTCCTGGTTGGCTAACACTTGCTGATGTTTGCTCCGGACAAGTTTGATCAATCTGCCGATGGGCGATAGGGAAAGCTTGGCTTTCTTGGAGTAGGACACGAATATGTTATGAAATCACGAACGACGATTCCGATATACCACCAAAGGTATGGGGGAATATATAGCCAACGTGCTTACGACGTCGGGCTTTAGGTTCGGAGAGGGGTGTCCCCGGACGGAGATAAGCGTCGTTGATTTGGGGAACTCCGCGCCCGGCTCTGGCTTCGCGAGCGCCCTTCCAACGTCACCCTGCGCTAAAGAAGCCGTGCATTGCTACCCGATACCCTGATCGACTGGGCCTACCCTAGAGAGGGTCGAGTAATGGTCGGGTCAATCAGCTGTCGCCCAGCTGGGTGAGTATGACGGACAGTGATAGGATAGGATCATGAACATTTTGATTTCTCCTGGCCTCCCGGCAGTGCAAGACGCTAACTATTCGTCTTCCTCATCATCCGCTGCCTCGGATGCCTTCTCAGTGGCGGCCTCTTTGCTGGCCTTTTTCGCAGGAGCTCCGATGTTGATGCCACTCTTCCCGCCGATAGACTGGCTGCTGTCGGAGCCCTTTGTGATGCCGAGGTTCCCGCCGATGTTGGTCACGCCGCGGTTCGGGTCGATGGTGATGCCGGCGTTATTCTTGAACTTTTCCGACTCCTTGACCGCTTCGACTTCCTCAGCCTTGGCTGCAGCTTTCTCTCTGCCCTCGACCGCCGTCTCGTCGGCCTCTTCCTCCTCACCATCGGAAGCGGCCTCGTCGGCCTCATCGTCTTCTGTGATCGTGACGCTCCCATCTTTTCCAATGTTGACGTCCCCGTCCTTCACCCCGACCACTTTTCCCTCTCTTACAACCTCAACGTCCCCTTTATTTCCTCCCTCCTTCTCTTCCTCTAGGAAGGGCTTACCACCGACAATGATGTTGGCCCGACCCGCGAGGCTCCCCTATATGCACTGTCAGCCAAGCAGACTTCAATACAAACGTGGAAGCGTTACGATGTCCAGCGACCTCGGTTCCTGAATGCAGACTGCCAGCTGCAGGGTGGCCATAATGGCCAGGCACGGCCTGGACAGCAACATCTTGACTCAAAACAACGTCCGGCGCCAATGATGAACGAGCCGCACAGCGGGAGTTGGAGGCGTGTGAGTGAAGCCGGGAGCAAAGGGCTGGGCGTCAGAACACAGTTCTCCACCGGGGGGCAAGAATAAGATGTGAAAACAAGCACTCGGTTGCTTAGCTAAGAAATATGACAACCTTGCAAGCAAACGCCGAGAAGGGAGATGCGAATGAAGGAAATGTTGCAATACTGCCCTAGGAAGGTCACGGCGATCAAGCCAAGACATGATCATATATGTATCTATTTTCTCGACGGGTCGACTAGGGAGGATTTCCATACTTGATCGACGTCCTCGAGACAGATCACGCATATCGGTTTCCGGAATCCACATGGCGTTCGCCGCTGGCTTCCAAGGATTTGCCTCCCAGTTGCTTTGGACATCACCGGGAGCTCAAGGCCGGAGGAGACCTGGAATAGCATTGCCTGTCCCGCAGAGCCTGTCCAGAATGCGAAAGCGGCAAAACGGGAAAGTTTGAAAGAGAAACTCTAGGATGGATGGGTTTCATGCGCCTGTTCGCATCGGGGTTTTGCGGTCACGAAGCTTGCCGACGTCGAGCCTGTGTGAATTGGTGCACTCTTTCTCTTCCTCGCCCCTGACAAAGTCTTGGCGTTCCCCAGGCTTGGCCTCAAACGCAAACTCGAAACATGGCGAGGTGGGTTCTTGGCGAGTAAGTTGGCAGGTGGAAGGGCCGGGGTCGGGACATGTCAGAAATGACAGCCCAGGTGAACGGTTCACTGCCAAAGGGAGGGCTGAGGGGGCGCTCCCTTGCGAACAATGAAAGGGGGCACCATAACACAAGACTTGCAATATGTCGATTTCCCGATTTGAGGCAAGGTTGCAGGGCTCTTGATTCGGAGCAAGATGAGTATAGTCACGTGGAAAGTCACTTGGTACTGCAGGGACCTGGCCACGCACAGGCTATTTGCACCTGCGACACCAGAATAACACCGCACTTTTCCTATTCTGGCATCTTGATGCAGGTCACCCCAGACAGAGTGTCTAAATTGACCCACTCCAAAAAGAACCTCGGTTGTCCTCTCATGGATCCTGCGTTTCGTATTTCTCAGTTCTCCCGCTCTGAAAATCACCCGCGATTCACCCGCACAACAACCGAGAAATCGCCTGGAGGACTGGGCCTTTGCGCTTGGCTGGAGCCGATTGATAGCTGAGAGCTGCGAGGACGAACAGCGTGCGCATCTCCGTCCCGCTTGCTGGTGTGCCCTGGAGCACCAAGGCAGCGCGCGCGCGCGTCCTGGGCGCCGCCGGCGGCCAGCCATGGCGCCGCCAAGTTTCCCGCCGCCTGCGGCTGTTCCCACAACCGCCTCTTCGACCGCGACTACGACCGCCACCGAGGACGGCGGCCTTTTCGTTGGTGCCTCTGGTAGCCCTGTAGCCCCGAGCGTCCCGGCTACCTCTGCCCCTGAGACGTCATCAGCCCCCCCGATCCGACAGCAGCCGCCGCCGCCGCCGCCGCCGGATCTGCAGGATGTCCCGGCATCTCGCGCCTCAGCCGAACAACAACAGCTTCCCTCCCCAACAGCCAGTATCCATCAGCACGGCGGCCTGAAATACGAGCCGCCTGCGGGCGTGTCGTCGGCCATTGCGTCGGCGCATAACACTCTGCAGGTGTTAGAGGCCGTGGCCAGCACCTCCTCGGCTCCGCCCTCAGCCCCTGTGCTGCCTGATGCTGCCAGTCTGCAACAGCAGCAGCATGAGTCACACCAGCAGCACCAGCACCATTATCCTGTCCTGGCCCCGTCGCCCCATGGCCTCGAGGAGCAGCATCACCAGCAACAGCAGCAGCAACGGCTGCAGTACTCAGCCTCGGCCGCTGTCGCCCATCATGATCAGAATGGCAACCCCCACGGCTATGACCACCACATGCAGTACTCCCCGCCTGCGGCGTCGCCGACAACGCCAGGGGGCAACGTGCCACAATCCGGAGCAGCCATGCATCCGCATGTCAAGCAGACTCGGCTGCGGCGCGCATGTGACATGTGCAGCGCGCGGAAGGTCAAGTGCGATGAGGCTGGCCCGCCGTGCAAGCCGTGCAGATCGCTTAATGTCGAGTGCACATATACGCGCGAGATGAAGCGCCGCGGCCCTCCAAATAAGCATGCTGAGGCGGCTAGGGCAAAGCGTACCCGCATGGAGGCCGCGGTGGGAGCAGCTCCAGGCTGGAACAATGCCGCGGAGATGTCTACCTCGATATCATCTGGCACTGGGCTCGGAGGCCAGACGCGACAACAGTCACACGAGCAAGCGCCGCAAGGCACGCAGCCTCAGATCCAGCAGGGGCCTAGTCCCCCTCTCGACGCAGAGTCCATCGCCCCGTGGCCTACCCTCGCGCTTCTGGTGGACGACTTTTACACCTACATCCATCCGCTGATCCCATTTCCTCACGAGCCAAGCTTCAGGCGCTCGTTCGCGGCCCGCGAGGACAAAACCGACCCCGAGTTTCTAGCATTGCTGGCCAGCATGATCGCCACGCTAGTGGCCTCGTTTCCCCGCGCTGCGCGACTACACCTCAAGTCGCAGCGGAATGCGTCTCTCTTCCCTCGGGCAATTGCGCTCATTGAGCGGTGTCGGGCCGTGGCCATGATGGCACGTGGCCCCATGTTTGCTGGCAAGGAGTCAATGTCGGTAAACGACGCCGCCACGAGCTACTTTCTCGGCCTGGCGTCTGCGTACATAATGCAGTGGAAGATGTGCCGCCGTTTCTTGGCCGAGTGCCTTTGCTTCGCGCAGGAGCTCGGTCTGCATCGCTGCAGACATCTTGACCCGGTCCTGGGCCCCGGTGGTCTCGAGTACGGCTCGCCTGACCAGTCGGTGGATCATATCAAGGATCAGATTGGCAAGCGCATCTTTTGGGTGATGCTCGTGGGCGTGAGGTCACTGGTGCAACTGGGCGCCACTCATAGCGAGCTGCCACTGCCCCCGCCTACACCGGCGGAGCCCTACCCTGATTTGCCGCTTGAGGTTGACGACGAGTACATCACGTCATCAGAGATCCTACCACAGCCCGCCGGCCGTGTCTCGCTTCTGACGGGATTCAATCAGGGCATCAAAATATACATGACCATGAACCCAATAGTCAGCGTTGAGCTGTCGTATGGAATCAACAGTCTCTCGCTCGAGGACCAGGAGGAGATGCTTATGAGCTGTCTCCATGCGGCCAAGCATGCCACGGACGATCTGCCTCCAGAGTTGAAACTTAATATCGACCCCGTCCCCTCCGGTTTAGACGCTAACAATGGCACTGCCCCTGGCCATGCCGGATCGTTGCTTGCCCTGCCGCTTGCCGAGGCGTTTGCGGATGCGCCGGGTTTCCAGTACTTCCCGCCGGCATATCCCAACTCACAGCCGGCAAACGACGTTCGACGTGTGATCGAGAACCAGCCTGAACGGCGCAGGCTGCTGCAGTTTGAGATACAGAAGGCAAACATATACGGGTCTCAGCTGGCCACGCGCTCTTACTACGTGGAGAGGTGCTTTAACCTTCGAGACGCCCACCGCGCCCGGGTGGCGAGTTACACGGGCATGGCGAGGTCTGATCCGGCCCAAGCTGACCAGCGGGCTTCGATGGAAGACCTTGACCGCCGGCTGGCTAGGGCTGATGGTGGCGCCAGCACCGACCCGTGGGCTTCGGAGCGGGAGCTCATCGTGCAGAATCTTTTGATTGTTCTCGCATCGATCCCACAGCGTAGCATGGAGCCCAATGGCGGGTCGATCATAAACAAGATTCGGCAAGTAGCATCGACACTGCTGGCCGACGCACCCGAGCGCAAGGGTCCTGTTGCCGTCAGGTCCGAGGAGATGTTGAGACACTTTGTCGACATACTCCTACGCCTGGAGAAGACTGGTGGGCCTGGCAGAGGCAGCGGTCCAGCGGTTGCCGCTGCTGCCGCCGCAGGCATCGCAAATGGAACATCGAGTGGCTTCGATTCTGGACTGGACGCTGGAGGTGTCATGACACCAATGGATGAAGAGGAGGAACTGCGCACCTGGGCAGACCTTCGCGAAACACAGATGCGGTTTGCCCAGAACGGCGGATTCATGGCCAACCCCTGACGGTATTTCTACCTTTCACTGGATCAGGCGTTTGCATGAAGAAAAGCAGTATCTGGCGATGGTGCTATCTGTATCTTATTTGGTTGGCCCTTTGGTCACTTTCTTTTGCATTTCTCAGTGGCGTTTTCGGGGCGGCTAGGTGGTGGTTGGTTTATTCGTTTTATATGACCTTGATGATGCCGGCGAGTGTAACCTCCGTCAAATATCGGACTTGTGTCGCGGGAGCTGAATAGAATACAATGCCCAACCCACGGCCTGGACGAGCCTTTCGTCCCAAACCCGCTCAAACCTGTGGCGCCTGCGCCTGTGCGTGCAGAGTAGCGGCCCGCATGCGGATCGGGCCGGCGTCCATGTAGGTTCTGAGCCCTGCCGCCTTGAAGCCCGCGAACCCGCCCTCGCCCTGGCCGACAGCAACAAGCTCGACGACGTTGAACTCGCGAACGGCAATGGGCTGCAACTCCGGGTCCTCGCTCATGATGGTGGTGCTGGTGCTCTCGTACATGACGGTGCGGCCGCCCCCGGGCTTGGCCACGTCCCAGGTGCGGTGCAGCTCGTGGCCGAAGCTGGCCAGCCGCTGGGCGCGCACGAGCAGCAGCGGCAGCACCTGCTCCGTCGTGCTAGGCGGGTTGTTGTTGACGGTGAAGGTGGCGCCCGGCGCCATGACGGCCGTCAGCGCGAGCGCCTCACCCTCGGGGTTGAGCGAGTCGAGGACGGGCAGGAGGTATTTGAGGAAGCGGAGGCCTGGGGAGGCCGAGTCGGGGATCGAGTGGAGGCCGCCCTCATAGAGCGACGTCGTGGCCATTGTGCAGTACTGCTTCTTTTCGGCTGTGCTGTCTTTTCTTTTTCTATTTCTTTCTTCCTAGAGGCGAGAATAGGTGACATACCGATGATCGCAACAACTGTGCCATCATAGTGAGGGCATCGTGGCTTTTTTAAACGTGGACACACGCGTATAACCCGTGCATTGCTCCACTACTCTGATGGCTTGTCCGGCCGTCGGGTGATGTTTGGGAATTATTACAGGCGCCATCTCTCTTGAGTTTTATCCAGACCTGGCTGTCCGTCTACCATGACAGCCTGAGCCATCCGGGACCGGAAGACGGCCGCCGCCTCTTTCCGATCGGGCCGCCAAGGCAATGCGACGACGGGTGTCTGCTCCGCACCTTCCTATTCATACTATGAAGCACTATGCGTGTGCACTTGTAGGCACTCTATGGCGAGGCTTGACGTAATATTGATAGGAGGCTAACATAAGAAAGTAGCCAATCCCGCTCGCGCTATCAAGCGGTACACATCTCCAAAGGCATGATGACCTTGGTGAAAAATTCGTGAGCAAAGAAATCGTCGCTGTCATTCGGCAGTTCCAGCAGCAGCAGCGTCCTCACTACACTTCGGAATCTAGAGCCCATCCTCCAGCCCAGGTCTTCCAACGGGTCGTTGATGATAAGCTTTCTTGCCCAAGACCTCGATTTCAGCTTGGGTTTTTTCTCACTAGGCACAGCATCGGCCAGGACCTCCCATCGGCCCACCTCGCAGAGCACCACTCCAAGGCCATACAGGTCCAGCTTCTTGGTGAAGCCGCCCCTGGCATCTTCATGGTAGTAGTACTCCACCTCGGGGTCTTCGTCCGCGTTCAGCTTGACGGACTCGGTGGTTCGGCTCCGAGACGCCTGGAAGCCTGTAACCAGCGGCTGAGCGACATCGATCCCCCTGCCCTCATCGCGGTGGAGGAACACGATGTTCTCGCTCCGGAAACCCTTGTGCAACCAACCCGCGGCGTGGAAGAGGCTGAAGCCTGACGCGAGCTCGTACGCAAGACGGAAGCGGTCGCCCAAAAGAGGTGGCTTTGCCCGGGTGGCTCGGATGAGCTCCTTTAGGTTTGTTGGGGGCAGTTTGCCAAAGTTTCCCTCGTAACCCGAGTCCTTGGGCACGGTGAGCACGGTGCCGAGTCGCGTTTTCCTATTGGCAGCCCTGAACGCCGAGTCCTCGAATATGCCACAGCAAGGCGGGATGTGGAGTGCCGGCTCGTTGACGGTCTCGAGCATGACGGCGAGCGATTCGGCACGGTCGCGAAGAGTCTGGTACGAGAGAGCTTCCGGGTCGAGTATGTTCCATTCGATCCACACGGGATGCCGGATCCCTGTGGGATGCGTGTATATCCCGGTCGTCCACCCGCCGGCATCCTTTAGTGCGAGCTGATTACTCCCTATGACGGTCACGGCTTGCTTGACTGTACTGGCGGCTGACTGTTCCAGACCCATTAGCTGCGCGGAGAGCGCCAGCAGCCTCGGGCTTTGCATGGCCGGATCTTGGAGCATTTTGACATAGCCTGTCCCCTTGATCTTGGCCAGCACGTACGACGAGAGTGTCCTCTGAAGAAGATCGACATCTGCCGGCTGCAGGACATCGTACAGGTCTCGATTCAGCTGCTGGAGATGCAAGACCAGCTCCGCGAACTTGTCTTTCCTCTTGATCACCCAACTGACGCGGCTCCTGGGACTTCGCGAAAGCGCCAGCTTTGCCATGTCTTTGGCCATCTGGCTGTCGGCCGCCATACCCTTGTCCAGATCGCCAGCTGCGACTGGTGGCAGCACGAGGTTGTGTTTTTTGATAAAGGGTTCAGCCTGCTCGTGTGTCCTCTTGATCTCGCCCAAGATGCGGAGCACCAGCCTCTTCACAACTTCGGGCTGCGATGCCAGGGCGCACGAGGCCGGGTCTGAGGTCCTGAAAAAGTCTCCCCAGATAAGGAGCTTGTGCTTCTCGATATGGTACCTCAGCGTCAGGTATCCACCTCCATCATCGTCATCAAAGAAAGACTCGATGAGGAGGTAGCCGTCTATGGCGCCGTTGAAGGCAGCGATCAACCCCACCACAGCAAGGGCAGCGCCCACAGGCTCCACGCCAGTTGCCATTTCTTGTCCTGGTTGCCTTTGGATGTTATTCGCGGCGGAGCTTCAAAAAAGACGGGGAAATAGTCAACTCAGATCCCAGGACCCAATGTCTGCTCTGGTTTTCGGCAACCTGTAACGGTAAAGAGGGTTTTATTCACAGCCTGCCTGTCATTCGGAAACGCCTATTCTGGACACAGCCCCTGTCCTAACCAACTAGCGTCGCCCGACTACAGAGGGGTTCCAGCCACACAGACGTCTCCGAGGACGTCAGCGTACTGAAACCGAGCAGCTGAGCTATAGAGGCGTTTCAGCCGTCCAAAAACATCGCGGATCTACATATACCAACACCGGGCAACTCAGCCCCAAAAGACAAAAAGGCCTCGTGTCTGCCTATCATCAATGTGAACATGGTATGAATGAGTCACCCCTTGATAGTCGACATTCATGTCGAGCGGTCGGCTCGGACATGCGTGCTTTCGTTCCAGTTAATTTTCTTCGCTAAAATACCACGCGACCCCTTATCAACGTCCTCAAAGCAGTGATAAATTCGCGATCAGCATGGATCGGTCCGGCCGACAACTAGCCCTCCGGGATTCGGAGAATATCGAAGCAGGAAGCAATGTCACCGGAGAAGTTGAAGAGCCAGGGCGCACGTCAGTGAGACAGTCCACCCGCCGCCGAGGCCCAGGCTTTATCAACATTCTAGACTTTGGGTTCCAGTGGGGTATACCTTCTGTGGACCTTGTCCGCGTTGGCGTTGTGTCTAAATCCAACAGGGGCACGCTGGACGGCGCCCGTGTTGCTTATTCAGTCGGCGCCGGGCATACCGCCACCGTCATCCAGCACCAGACAGGTGACGAGGAGTTAGATATCCTACCTGTGGGAACCACTATTGCCCTCAAGATTTTCACACAGAACTCGGTTCCCGATTCTACGGAGGGTCGGCAGGGCCAGCGGGAAGCTCTGTCCCAGACCTACGCTGCTATCCTCAGTGAGCTCGGCGTACTCTGCGACCCAGAGCTATCCGAGCATCCGAACTTTGTCAAGTTGCTGTTTTTAGGATGGCGGTCACCCAACCCCTTTCTGATCCTCGGAATGGAGCTCGGGGAATACGGATCTCTGGATTATACCTATGCGCGCCGGGCGCCGGTCTGTCGAGGGCCCAGAAGACGCATATCACCATGGACATCGCTGTGGGCCTACATGCCCTACATGACAAGGGGCTCGTCCACGGAGACTTGAAGCCGGGGAACATCGTGGTTTTCAAGCACCCCGACCCGGAGCGGCAGCTAATCGCAAAGCTGACCGACTTTGGGGGTGCGTCTGAGCGCGACACAGCCCCGGGCTTCGTTACATATCTATGGTCTGCGCCGGAAGTACTCCACGGGGACCCCGACATCGACTGGGACAAATGCGATATCTACTCGTACGGTCTGGTCGTCGCTAGCATCTGGGGCCGCCCAGGAGAGTTCGTGGTCAAGCGCAGGAAGTCTTCCTGCATTCTCGAGTCTTTCGTCCCGCCATCTCTGTTAGAAGAAGACGATCGAGAAAACTTCCTCCTGGTCACAAAGAGCATCCCTGAGGATAGACCAGACAGTGCACTGCACTTGAGCCTGAGAAGCTTGCCCACCGCCAGCCCTGCAGTTGTCCGAAATTTGCTCGGGGTAGTGCTTGTGCCACGCTTTTGGCAGCGGCCAAGCATGCTTGACGTCGTAACCCACTGTTTCGCCGACATTAGCGATACGTTGGGTCGAAATCTGAGGTCGGTTACTTCACTCTGGGTGGCCGGTGCGATAAACTGACTGACTTTCGCAGGGAAGAGGTACGCTTTAAGACAAAGGAGAATCGCTTTGTTAAAGCCAACACTCGACTCTTCAAGGTGGGTGACCTCAATGCTACAAACCTTCCTATTCCTGCTTTTCTTCCTATTTTCCTTTTTTATTTTTCTTCCTCTTCCTTTCCCTTTCTTTTTCCTAGCTTTAATTCTAATTTTATTTCTCTTCTTATTCCAATTCTTCCAATGGGCTGTTCCTGCCGCACCAATAGTTCTAATCTATGGGACTCCCTTGTACGGGCTAGCGGCCTTTTTATTGCTTAGGTGGAACTGCCATCTTGTGTGTGGTGGGCGTGCCACTGCTGCGAGAGAGATTTGCTAGTCCTGTATCCTGCTAGATCTGGTCAAAGTCGTTTCGACAGCGCACCCGAGAGTTCCAGGAATATGTTCTTGGACAGCTCGAGCAGGAGGTCGGCGGAAGCCCGGATCTCTTCTGCTCCGTGGTCGAGGATATCACGGAAAGCGCCGACGAAGCCAAGTCCCTTGACCAGTACATCGAGATTCTTCGACAGGGCGTCGGCCGCCGGGCGATTTCCGCCACTGGCGGAGGGGAGGGCTCCACGTTCATCGATGCTGGAGACAAAGGGCGTATCTGCTTTCACATAGCGCTATGCTACTTGTACCCCGTTGGCACAGACTTCTCGCTGGAGACAGGCCTGCGCTGGCTGCGGGCCGCAGTTCTTGGTGGCTATATGCAGGCAGCGTACCTGTTCTCAGTCCTGCAGCATCAATATCCGGAGCAAAGTCCTCCTCCGGTGCAGGAGCGACTATCGCTTGCAGTCGCAGGCCTGACAAGGAGCTTACCCTGCTTGGACATCCTCGCCTCTCGGTGGCCGGCGCACTATCAGCAGGTTATGGCTGTCATACAAGGTCAGCGCACGACCTAACTCAAGCTGAGCTTCAACAATGTGTATCACATATGCACTATCTTGGACAGCAAAGTTAGAGGCAAATGCCCTGCCGAGTCAGGGGGGATTTCGGATAGTATCATCTCCTACAACCTTGACCATGCCCGACGGCTGCTGGAAGGACAAGCAGACGACAGCAAGCCCGCCGTCGCAGAGGGCGACGACATGGCTGGCGCGCTGCACGCCTTGACTTATCTCAGAGATGCCGATGCTGCGTCGCTGGCCAGGCTGGTTGTCTCCAAAGGCGCAGACTTGAATGCCTCGCGAGTTGCATCGCAAGGAGTATGGGCAACCAAGCTTGATCAAAGCAGGGTCACCTCTGCGCTGAGCTCGGCCATCTCGCGCGGGCAGCTCTTGTTTGCTCAGACCATGGTCGATCTGCACGAGGAAAAGGATATTCCCATTAAGGATTTCGTGCGTGCACTCATCACCTCTGTGGCCTTCTGGCATCACGACCTGGCCGAGAGGCTCTGGGAGCTGAGGCTGAAGAGACCCTCCCTTTGCGATGCCACTCCCCGACTGAGCTCACTGGCTTGGAGGGATCTGCGCTACTCGATCCGCGTCTCCTGCTTATCGCCGCCATGGACGACTCAGACATGCACTCTCTGGAGAACCGGGCCTTCCATGGGCAACGCCACGACGAGGCATACGCCAACACCCTGATGCCGTTGATCAAGTACGGGGCAAATCCTACCAGCGGTTTCTTTAGGGACTGCCCCCTATATCGCTGTCTGGTTGACGACGATCCAGTTGCGCTACGGTGCTTCGTTCGATGTATACGTGAAACCTATGATGGGGACCCGTTCGAACTGGTCATCGATCCGGGCCATTGCCGGGGGCAGGAGTGGTCGGCAAACGGGCATACAGGACTACAAACCTGTATCTACTCCAAATCCCGGCGTTGCTTCTACATTCTACTTGACGAGTTTCCCCTTCTGATGGAGGAGCAAAACATGCGAGGCCTCACGGCTCTCCACTCAGCCACGTTCCACCGCCAGGATCTAGGGCTGCTACAAGCTCTGCTGGAGCGAGGCGCAAACGTCCTAGCTGTGAGCAAAGACAATTCGTCTCCGCTCATGCGGGCGCTGCGAAACAAGAACATTGAGGCCGCCGATCTCATCACGCGGTACTGCTCTCCGGAGCAGCTCGCCATCCTTTTCCGGCGGCAGCCCGACACGGGCCGCTCGCTCTTCTCGCGCCTGATAGATGCCTGGCTCCGTGGCCGTGACCCAGAGCTCATCGAGAGCTTCAGATGGGCAGTCGATCACGGTGCCGCGCACTTCTATGGCACCACCTTCGACGTGGGCCCGCACCGGGTCGAGAAGCCGCTGTGGAACGACATACTGGCCAGCGTGCGCCCGCCGTCCGAGGCCTGGCAGCTACACGACCTGGAGCTCCTCGACCTCCTGTTTTCCGTGTTTCCGGACCGGGTCAACGAGCTACAGCAGGACGGTCGCGGTCCGCTGCACGTGGCGGCGTGGTACGGGCATGTCGAGGCGGTGCGCAGCCTACTGCGCCAGCACGGCGCCGACGTCAACCTCGAGTTTGGAGTCTGCGAGTATCACCCAGGCGACCCACGGGCCATGGAGGGCCGTACCGCGCTCAACCTGGCCGTCGTTCGCGGCAAAGCGTCCGGGCTACCTGACGAGGTACGGCGGGGTGGACACGAGGACATCTCACGCTGGCGGGCCGACTGCGCCGCCATCAAAGACATTCTCCGCGCTGCGGGAGGGCGTTCGGGCGGCGGTGCTTCTTTTGCGCAGGCGATGGAGGTCCTGGCACTGGATGAGGATTCCAACGTCTCGGCCGTTTCCATCAATGAGCCGGAGCCGCCTGAGCACGATGATATATGGAGGGGGGAGTGGCCCGAACCGCTCCCTCGGGATGGCACCAGCGCGCCACCTCCGGATCTACAGAGCATGGAGAGGGGGATGGGGGTTCTGATGAGCCTCCTGGGCCCTATGCGTACGAGCAGAGGTGAGAGCCATAACACCACAGCTGACCCAGAGGAGCGTGACAACTGGAGGTCAAAAGCAAGTCGGATTCGGCAGTTGTGGAGGCTCCCGCAGGGGTGGGAGCTGCGCATGGTGGGCGATAGCGGGACGCTCTTCTTTGTAAACCACAACACGCAAAGCACAACCTGGGACAAGCCGCCTCTGGCAAGGCCAGGCTAGGCGGTGGTGGTATGACTGACCTAGACAAGTACGAACAATGAAGCTGCCGAGTATTGAAGCCTATCGCCAATCGCGATATCCCCACATTTCGGTATTGAGCTCTCTGGTGTCTTACCTTCAGTATTGTGCTACGGGTTTGAGTGCCATTTATGGGCAGTGATATTGATCACAGGATTGGCAGCCGCTACTCCCTTAGGCTACAATGTGTCTGAGTTTCATTCACCACAAAATCGGCGGTGAGGCCATAAAAGGACACAGCCATATACACGGGTGGCCGCCTGACGCATGGTTGTGAAATCTGTAAGATTTGTGAGATGACTGGTGGATCGTAGCTGTGTAAGTGCGAGCGTGCCAATGCTCTCGACAGGAACGTGTGAAGACACCACGGCAAATGCCCTTGGTTCACAGCTGGCACCAGCTTTGAACTACCTCAAGGATTTCTGCCAATAGAATTAGGGGGAGCCTTGCCGCTACGTCGCCATAGCCATCACGAACATAACCAACCATATTGCGCAGCCTTCTGCCGCCCCCAATAGTTCCAGCCACTCACATGGATATGGCTTGTGACGGCTCATACTCTCAGTCTAGCTGACGTGGACTATCAACCTGTGATCACCAGGAAGTACCTACCAGAGTACATGGAAGATGAAGTAACTGTGGGTGGGATACCGATGTTCCACTGGCTTGAAGCTCTCGGCTCGTATTGTCGTGATCATCGGGCGCCCGCACAGCCTGCCGAGCTGGAGCACTACCGAGGTTGAGTCCAGAGGACGACGGCAGCCAGTGAGACTGGCTGTCGCCAGGCAGTATAAATAGGCCACATTGTCCCCGAAGAGAATCAACTTGACATCAACATCAAGCAGCCAAAGCATTCAACAGCAGAGCAGCACACCAAGAACATAAAACGCTACACACACACACACACACACACACACACACACACACACACACACACACACACACACACACATTCTCTCTCTCTCTCTCATTGCACAAACTACTCCCCAACCCATCAGCAACCATGAGCTTCATCTTCTACTCCGGCCCCTCGTCCGACTTCCCTCCCATGAGCGAGTGGAAGACGTTCGAGGAACTTTTCAACCTCAACAAGCCCGAGATGCTGCGGACGGGCGACACGGGCGAGGACGTGGGCTGCATCTGGAACGCGGTGCTCGAGTGCGCCAAGCTCGGCGTCGACGAGCGCGTCGTCTTCGCCATCATCATGCAGGAGTCGACGGGCGACGTGGGCGTCGCGACGACGTGGAACATGGACAAGCGCGCCACGGCGGGCCTGATGCAGTGCGACGGGAGCCCCGGCTTCGACGGCCGCCACGGCCTGCCGCAGGCCGACATCACGGCCATGGTGCGCGCCGGCACCGAGCACTTCAAGGGGAACCTGCACGAGCACGGGGACAAGTGGGACGCCGACACCATCTACAAGGCCCTGCGGTCTTACAACTCGGGCCGCTGCGACGCCGACGACCTCAGTAAGGGACTCGGGGCGACCGACGACTATGTCAGCGATGTGGCCAATCGTCTGTGCGGCCGCACCCGCTGATCTGGAGATGGGTGTCGACGGAGGGAAGAGATGTGATGGGGGTGGTGAGGAACCAAGGGTGGTAATTTCGGCGATAGGGTGACGGGTCTCGTCAGGGCGCGGTAGTTCTGGCGCGTATCCTTCTTGGGGAATCTTTGATACCTGGTATTTGGAGGAGAGCTGATAACCAGACTTCGTTCAAATTACGAAGCACATGGCTGTTCAGTGAGGAGGGAGGAATTTTGAATAGCACGCAGAACTTTGGACCAGAATGCAATAATTCCTGTCTTTTTTTCGCGTGAAGTGTATAACATCCAGTTCTTCTGAAATTTGTTGATAACTCCATACTAGAAGGCATGGATGAGGGTCTCAGGGGTGGCCACTGAGACCCATCCGGCCTGTGTAAACTGCGCCACCAACTGCGCGCCTCGACCCCTTTCTGCGCTTTCCAACATGCTGCCGTATGAAAGAGATATATAACTCATTCAGTTTATAAACACAGCTTAGCCGGCAAAGCAACTTAGCTAGTTCAGGGCTAGGTGGACCACAACATCTGTTAGGCTAACCACAGGTGCGAAATTACGACACAATCATCGGAGACACGAAATCGCAACTCAGTTGAGAGTAACAGGATCGCGGGAATTTGATGGGCGCCGTGCTTGCTGGCGCAGGTCACCTCACATATGCGGCAAGTCTCCAAAGCGGCCACGCGATAGGGCCGAAGAAGCTAAACGAGAGCTGCCCTACGCCACAGCATTTCGGATACTTACGAAAAGCGCCTGATGAATGATCTAGGGTGACAGTGGCTTCACATGGCTTGAACGAGAGTTTAGCTCCCACAAGCAGTGCAGCCAACGTGGGCGTTTGTATGGTATTTTGGTTGAGGAAAACTCATCGCCCAATATTTCCCACCACGCTGCCGACCATGACGGCAATCTCCCGGTCCCAGCCCCCGGCCTTTTCGGTGCTGCCGTCCATGGCCTGGCCCTTAGCTTTCGCTTTCGGTGCGCCAGCGGCTGCTGCGGCGCCTGGCAGCTGACATCCTCGAACAACGCATTCCCTGATGGCTTCCCCTACGTTGCTCTTGTTGGATCTCAGGGTCCGTGCAGACACGCCGCCCCGGTTCATGATCTCCTGGACCCGGGTCGCGAGGCTGCTCGCCATCGTCCGCCAAAAGTACGAGGCCAGAGAGCCGGTCTCGAGATGGGCCAGCAGTGGTTGCAGAAGATTGCCTTTTTCGGCTGCAACAACGGCTGGGGGATGGAGCCTCAGGGGGTGCGGAGGCGCCTTTGTTGACTCGAGGACGAGTTCGAGTGCCACGATGTTTTGGCACCGCGCGCTCACCTCGGCCAGGGTCCGATCGAGCGACGGCAGGGCTGCGAGCGAGCGGGCCAGGGATGCTATGCTGCTCTGCAGCGCCGAGCGCAGATATATCTCGAGCGCCTGCACCATGGCTGAGGGGCTCCACCTTTCGTTCTTAGCCAGGGCGGTGGGTGACAGCAGATACAGCGTCACCAGAGCCGAAACCATGCGCGCCTTGGCCTCCTCCATCTGGGCAAAGGTCGGGCCGCCGCCGCCTGGCGCCCCGGACGATGAGGATGAGCCTATGGAAAACTCCCGCACTATCCGCTCCGAGAGCTCCTGAACCGAACGCTCGATGGGTGCGATGACGGTCTCCTGCAGGGAGCGTATGGCGTCGATGCGGTCCAGGCCGTGGCCCTCCTCCCCAGGGGCCTTGCGCTCTAGGATCTCGCGCAGGGACAAGATGGTGTGCGTGCAGCGGACCAGCGCATTGTGATCTTCCCTGCGCGCGGCCGTCGTGGCGGAAGCGGCAAGCTCCGAGTGCTGAACCTGGAGCTGGCGGCCCAGCTGTAGGCAGCGGGCGACGGAGCGGCCTAGCCTCAGCGTCTCCCACAGGCGCGAGGCGACCTGGCGGACGGTGTCGGCTTCGGCATGCTTCTTGGTGACCTCCCTCTCGAGCTGCTTGTAGCTCGCGTTGAGGGCCTTAACCTGGCCGTCGATCTCTGTGATGATTCTGCCGCTCGCTGCGGTCTGCTCCTCGGTGTGGGTGAGCAGTGGGATGGCGGAGCGGGTGGTCAGCTGGTCGATGTGCGAGTCGATCTCCTGGATGTCGAAGAGCACCCTTGAGAGGGGTGTGGATAGGTCGAGGGGCGAGTCATTGGGGTTATTGGTCGAGAGCACGAGGCTGTTGGCAAAGGCGGCGGGGTTGAAGCCGGGGGCCAAGAAGGTCTCGTAGTCGATATAGGACGCGTCCTCTTCGTCCTGACTGTTGACCACCATGCCTGGAGGCAGCAGACGGCAGCCAGGCCGTTACGGGTGGTGTCGTGGGCTGGGGTGTTTGGAGGGAGCTGTGGCCAGCAGCTGCGAAATCCAATTGGAGCAGAGCACACCCAGACTCAGCTGCCACTGCCTCCCCTGCCACACAGTACCACACAGTGCCAACTGTCCCGCCATGACTGGCGACGGGGGCTGACGAGCGGTATCGTCGGATCGCGGCAGCGCTCGAAAAAAAGCACTCAAACAAACACGGCCCTTTCCCTGCGCTGCTTGCTAAGCGTGGTTTCTGCGCTGAGGAACCTTGCGCCTTTGTTTGTCCCGCAGACGTCTCATCCTCGGCAATATGACCGGCTAGCTCCAAGGCGGCCTCGACCTCAGCTGGCACCGAGAAACCGCACGCGACAGCCAGGAACCCTCGGCTGACAGCCTCATCGACCGGACCTTTGGCCTACCGCCCGACTCCGCCGCCAAGACGCCTCGTTGCCATGCCTCTCCTCGACTTCCCGCCGGGTGACAACGCCACCGACACGGTCATCGAGGGCGTGCACTTCAGCCTCAAGATCTTCCGCGACTGGAACTACCAGTACTACTCCAACGGCACCGTCTCCAACGAGAGCTACTGCTTCATCACGGCCCCGCCCTTCACGCCCGCCCGCCTCCTCGACAACGGCACCTTTGTCAACTCGACCTGGTGCTACACGGCCCAGCGCCCCGTCGGCCCCCGCGGCGCCACTGCCCTGGCCCTGACGGTGCTCTTCGGCCTCGCCATTGTGCTCAACATCTCCAACCTCCATCGCCATGGCTCGCTCTTCCTCCCCTCCACGAAGCGCTTCCACCCCGTCGGCCGTCGCTGGCAGTGGTACTGGTCCCTGGCCGCCTGCTCCTTCGCCTGCGTCGGGCTGATTGCGAGTGTAGATGTTGAGCGCTTCTGGGTGTCGGAGCTGCCCATCGTGCTCGTCGCCTTTTTCTGGTACCTGCTCACCATGGCCACCATGGCTATCATTTGGGAGGCCGTCCGCCACTGGGGCAGCTGGCTAGAGCGCCAGTTCATTGACCCGGACCCCTTCGTTCTGCCCGAGAGTGGCATCCGCTACAAGTTCGAGTTCTTCATCCCGCTCGTCTTCTACGCCTTTTTCTTCCTCAATTTCTTCGTAGTCTTCCCTCGCAATTGGGGAGCCCTCGGGTTGCAGCGCTCTCCTGAGCAGACTCTGCGGGATGCCGTGCCCTCTGCCACCGACTTGCGCCTCAAAATTGGACCATTCTTTCTCTTGGCCGGCTGGATCACCATCCTCGTGTCTCTACGCCACTCGCTCAAGCACTACCAGAATCGCAACCGCGGCCTGGTCAACCGCGCCATCGGTCTGTTTACCATGACGCCGGTGCGCTTCCGACTCATGATCCCTCTGGCTCTCGCCATGCTTGCATACCAGGCCTACGTGCCCTGGTCTCTTGAGAACTCGCCCATGAACATCACTCCCAACCTCGTCCCTGTATATGTTGGCGGCTACCTCCCAAGCCTTCTTATCATATACATCCAGATCATCTGCGGCTACATGCGCCCTAATGAGGACCTGGAGCTGATCCGCCAGAGACGCGAGCGCGGCATCGAGGACGACGAACGCCTGCAGATAACCCGCAAGCCCGCGTGGTGGCGACGTGTACATGGCGATGCCGCGCCCCTCGGGGAGAGCATGCGCGACCGCGTTCGCCGCAACGTGAATGCTGTCACGGAAAGGAACCCCGGTCAGACTGATCCCAACAGGGAAGCCGAGATACGTGCCGCCCCGGGCCTTAGAAACCCCCCTTCTAGCCTGCCTGAGACGAACAGCCGCGCTGCTGTCAGCTCTGTGGAGATGGCCGAGATGCAAAGGGATCGTGGCAGCGATGCCTCAGACGCCAGAAGTGGCCTGCCATCACCTGGCCCCTCCGCCAACCTTGAATCTCCCACGACGGAGCCGTACAGCGGCCAGTCGGACAGACGGCGAAACGAACGTACCATGCAGGCTGTGGCCGGACTTCTATTCCCTGGATCAAACACCACGCCCTCGGCCGCCCAGAGAAGAGCAGACCTAATGGTAGACGGCCCGCCGCCGCCCCCTTACCAGGCGCAGACCCGAGAACAACAACCATCGGGGCTACGCAGCAGCTCTGCCTCGATCAACCAGCCTCCTCAGCAGACAAGGAGCATGTTGGATGTTTAAGCGGCGGCGGGTCAAGCGCAATTTACCCCCACACCGGTCAGGCGACCACCTCGCTGTTATTCTAATATACTACTTACTCCATTCCTTTGGTCATGTGTGTATATTTTGCATTTCTGCCTATCATTATTCCATTTTTCTCGTTTCATACTCTCCCCATTGAATATGTCTGGGCTATATTGCGGCGTCGTCACGGATTTCAGTTAAGCACGACTTGGATGTCTCTGTTATAGCTAGCAAGGTCAGCATGGATATGTGTATGTTTTACAAGGACGGCGGCATATGCAGTCAGGGCAGGGTGGTTGGCCAGCACGGGGCTTGGGAATGTGAGTGGAAGTGTAGGAAACACGAATACGGACAGTGCAAGTCGCATGTCTCCTTGCCGTTAAGGTCCCCTGCGGGTGTGTGAGGGGCTGGTGGCTGGAACAACGCACCAGGCCAGTCTTGGCATGGAGGTTTGATTCAATATGCATCTCGTCGTGCTCTCCAACCAAAGGCCACTCGGCATGTGCCCACTATGTGCCTTGCACGTACCCCAAACTATCAGCACCCCTCCAGGGCAGCACCATTTGTAGTGATCGCCAATGGCCACCCCCCATCCGATATGCAAAGGTACATGGCACCACATACAGGCTGTACCGCCCAGGCACCTACCGAGGGCTGCACTGGGCTAGATTTCCTTGCACAAAGGACATCTGCTGTGTGATGCGCTCAGATATATCACCCACCCAGCAAGGAATAGCCACAGGCAAGGCAATACAAAAAATGGCAAACGTAAGTTGCCGGCCATCTCCCCGGGATCCCACTGGGCCGGCCTCTCTCACACTGCCCGTATTTATCCCTCGGCGCTACCCCGTCAGCCCAGCACCAGCCAACCAGGTCCGAGATGCGCACATGCGCCGCCATGCGAGCAAGTCCAGCAGCCGCGCTACTGCAGCTGCAGGAGCTCTGCATCCAGCGCCTCTCGGTCTTTGCTTTCTCCGACACGCAGCGCGTTGGTTCGTTGGGCTGGGGGGGTTTTTTTTTGTTTTCTTTTTTTCTTGTGCGTCGTCCGTGGCGCTCCTTCGCTGTCCTGTCATCTCGGCCTTCCCTATCCCTCTAGCGTTTTCACTCGTGGAGTTTCTTCCCATGTTGGAATATCGATGGCATTGTAGTGGTGTGCATGACGGTACAGAACAGTTCTAGCAATCGCTGCTAGAAAACATAGCCCGTTCGGTAGACTGTGTGTAGGCCCGGTAGGTATCGGCCCTCGGCCTCGGGTCAGGCGACGCGCACACAAAAACCAAAACCCCAAAAGGGCAACCCAGCCAGCAAGAAGCGCGCCCCTACCCTCCCCTACAGCCACTGACCAGCCCTGCAATAGGCCCTCCCCTAGATCCCCTGGTGGACGACAGCACTACTGGTAGTAAGCCCGCTCCTCCCCTGCACCGCCAGCTCCCTCTGGGGACAAGAGGGCTGCCAAAAAGAAAACACCCCGCCCGCCAGCCTAGCTAGCCTAACCCCGTCCTCCGAGGTCGGCGCCCGGGGGACAGGAGACGGGCACATGTCGGGGCCTTGAGAACGACCCGTCACAAGCAGGGATATGGTATTATGAAGGGCAGCTGGAGAATGGAAAGAAATACCGAAAAGGAAACGAATGGCGGTGTGTACGTACATGGATGAGCGTATGTATATGTGTGGAAAAAAGGAAAGAGGAAAAAAAGAATCAAGGCCAAACGGCTGATGAGTTGGCAAAAGGCAGGGAGAAGGAGGGATGGGAAAATCCACAATGCCGTGGTCCACACGAACAACCCTCCCACTAACCTTCCCCATCCTCTCCAACGCCAGGCAACACGGAGCCTAGAACCACAGTGGACAGAAACAGGGTGGCGGACGGGCGGGCGGGCGGGCGGGCGGGGTGACCGAAGCATATTTTGCTTTCGGGTTTGTTTATGTTGCCCGCCACCGAACCTCTTCCTCATCTTCCCACCCGCGCCCGAGCCTAGAACACATGTGCCCTGCCTCCTGTCCATGAACGGCGGGGCATGATTCCATTAAAACGAAGAGAGAGAAGACAGGGGGAAAAAAAACTTCTGCAATAATAAAAGTGGCCGGCCGGCTTATTGCCCCCCCCCCCCC